CGGACAGACAGACGGACAGACAGACAGACGGACAGACGGACGGAGGGTAAACCTAAAGTCCCCTCCGGTTAAACCGGTAGGGGACTAAAAACAGAGTACAGGGATAGACCTAGTCATTGATTTCTCTAGCACCTCACCATTTGATAAAAAAAAAATATAAGGTGTCATGTAGCCATTCAGTAAAAATAGTATAATTGTTTTTAAAAATACAAAAATAATAGATATTAGTCTTTAACTTAATAAATAAGATGCCTTAAATAGACTAACTCCGGAATTAATTCGTAAGTACAAACAAACTTTTACAGTTACAGCTTCGAAAATAAGCGCAACATGTTGACTAATCTATTGTGACAGTAGTGCACCATAAATCTATAAGTGTAAAAGTTTGTTTGTACCTACAGGTTAGCTTGGAAAAACCCACATTTGCAGAGTTCCGGATAACATCTATTACATCACAAATTGCACTACAAAACTAATACAAAACATGTTTGTTCTAACATAATAAACTGTTTCATAAGATCAGTCCAAACAGATGATTAAAACAATTAATATGTATTTTTATTTGATTACATAGCATAATTAAGGTGAATGTAGAAAAAAAATTAACATAATAGTAATCAATGGAATTATTTACAATAGGAAATCTCTTATTTAAAATTGCAGTCACTCCTAAGAGTGAAAACAGAAAAAATATTATGCATCTATTATTTTACGAAAAAATAAATTTCTTACAGGGGTAGAATTATTGATAAGTTTATGTATTAATCGTATTGCCAAAAAAGGTGAAAAAGATGTCAATATTAAGCCTTTATATCAAAAATTATAAAAACACATCTCTATATGATAACATTATGCACATCTTTTCAACAATTTTATTTTAGAATCCAGAAATTCATTATCATTTTGGTTCTTAAAATAGCTACTCTTCTAAAAATAGCCATTTTTGTTCTAAAAATAGTCATTCTTGATCTAAAAATAGATTTTGTAAAGAAAAACTTACATTTTACCAAAATTTAATGTTCAAGTTTATCATTAATGTACATGTACACCTTTAAAGGTCTCAACAAAGGAATTTTTACATGATGGGACTGGAAATATTTCTTCAAGATTTTTCCACTATTTGATATACATGTATAGGTCTAAAGTAATAACTAGTCTTGTGTACAGGTTCAGGTCATTTGCTCACCTTTTTTTTCTAGGACAATCAATAAGCAAAATGACCCTAAAATGTAATATAAATGCACTGACCCATATTGGATTAAGTGCTGCATTAAAAACACGTGACCCATATTGGACTAAGTACTGCACTAAAAACATGTGTATAAGTTATTTTGAGTTTTAAGTGCTATTTATGATTCTCAAACTTTATATTTTTATTTTTTCACAATATGAAGAGATAATGTAATTATTAAAACCTATATCACAATAAATTTACACAGAATTTTGTCCTGAACAACTAAACAAATTCAAAATTAGATATCATATAATAAATATATGATTACTGTTAAGTCATCGTAATAAAGTTTCTCTAGATAACAACACCTATATAGTGACAACATACACCTAAATGGTGTCTTAAGGTGTGACATATCAATCTTCCCCTCCTTTAAAGGTGCCTTAAGGTGTGACATATCAACCCCCCCCCCTCCCCAAGGTGCCTCAAGTAAGACATATCAACCCCAACACCTCAATGGCGCCTTAAGGCGTGACATATCAACCCCCCCATGGTGCCTTAGATGTGACAGTCACATATCAACCCCCATGGTGTACCATATCAATAACCCCCCCCCCCCCCCAAATAATGCCTTAAGGCTTACATATCAACCCCCTCCCCCAAGTTTTCTATAACACAGCACCTCCTTTGTTCAATGGTTATCTTTTATTGATTCTCAGTACAATTCCTATACAGCTACTATCATATAAACTGTATTAGCCTCTGTAAAGCAACAACCTCTGGGAAAGAAAGATTTTGGCTGTTGCTGAGAGTTGGTTGCTCTAGAAATGTTATATTATTATTTACTTTGGGAAGTAAAATGATAGTGTTGTTGCAAAGAGGTTTAATTCTTTCTATAGAGGGTCTGTATTCTGCTGTAGTTTGCTGAAGTTTTAACCAAGGGGCACCTATTTTCATGCTGAAAATTCATGCTTGTAAGAGGCAAATTATGTTATCCTACAACAGAAAAACTTGTAGGAAAATGACCTAACTTTAGAATGATTACAATCACTAAAAGCTGCACTCCTAAAAACTGGGTAAAATTTTTTTGAAATTTTTTCTTATACATTTATTTAGTTAAATATTTTTTTCATTTTTCCCCCCAAAAGACTATGTAAGCAAAATCTACCCCTTTTCAATAGTATATTTCAACCTTGTCCCATGTTGGACTATTGAGTTAAAAGCAACTGTAACCGCCTCCGTGGTCGAGGGGTTAGAGTCGATGACTTCTAATCCAGTTACCTCTCTGGCTTGGGTTCGATCCCCAGGAGATGCTTTGGTAGTTTAGCGCGGAGGAAGGTAGTCTAGTACTGGTATAACTCTCCAGGAACGATGGTTAGGAAACTACCCACCTATATGACTGAAATACTGTTGGGAAAAGGCGTAAAATTAAACAACAAAACAACTGTATTTGCATATTTGGTAAAATTTTCATCATCTATAAAAAAAATGTTTAAAGTTCTGAATAAATTTTCACATTTCTGTAAGCATGCTGTTTCCAATTCAATAAAAAAAAAATTGTATTTTTCTTGAAGAAAAAAGAGAAAAGAAGCATGGCACAAGAGTTAAACATCATAATTATATAGTTACATAACGAATGTTATATATCGAATGATTGAGAAAAAAAAGACAATTATAATAATGGTGACAGAGGCTGCCAGTAAAATAATTACAGGGAATGTTTCAATACATCTCACAAATACAAAACCGTAGGCGATGGCTTTATGACAAATATCATTATTGTAAACGTAAACAATTCTGTATAATTTTTATACACAGTACTGTACCTTGAGTCATTTGTCCATGCTAAATGAAATGTCCATCTATTAATCAGGACAAAAACTTTCATAATTTTTTAGGGACAATTTAAAAATATGTACAGAAAAAAAATAACAAAAAGATGTACTGGCTTATCTCCGTGTGCACTGGTTGCCAGGGAAAATTCTGTTGCCCAGCAGGCTTAAAGTGTTAATTTTTAAATTTTGACTCATCTTAATAATTTTCTGGATTTAAATGTCAATTTCTTGGAATTAAGAAACCAAAAAATGTAGATAATGGTCAGCCTATTGGCCTGATTTAAAATGGTTGCACAAAATTAATATGCCATTATTGCCACTGGATTCATGTGCAAACCAAGAAAACTAACATTTTATTTTAATATATTAAACAAGAAATCGATTTTTTTTTCATATGTTGATTTTTATAAATACACAGTAAAAACAGTAAAACTGTTATGTCATGATAAAGTACTGATTACAGTTTCAAATGAATGAGTTAACGAGAGGATCGATATATAATAAAATTGTCCTGAAATAGAATTTTTGATTTTTTTTTAGAATATTTGATAACTGTTACAAATACAATTTAATTTGAGATTTTATAGAATAAATTCTATTCCAATTTAGCTAAAAAAAAAAGATTTACTGTTTAAAAGCATACAAGCCACAGCACTTTTTTTTCTCTTTCCATGAAAACTATTTGCATGTTTATATAACACAGTTTTAGTTATATTACTACGAAAATATCTAAATAAGCAATTAAAGCAACCTTCAACTTTTATTTTCTGTTGGAGAAACAATTCTATGTTGTTTCAAACTAAGTATTTCAGTACTTTTATCTTTGAAAAATTCATCAAATCACCCTTCAGCCTTCTTTAAAACAACGTCCGGAGAGCTATTTATAGCATGTCAATGACATTGTTTCTAAAAATAGAACATCAGGAAGCTTTACTGATCTAAATATAGGGACCAGTAGATTAGAGGTATCTAGGAATTTCTTTATTGTTTATGCATTTTATTGACGAAAAATTTCATTTTCAACCTCAATTCTTTTGATTTGACAATTATATGAAACAATTCATATGCAATTATATGATACAATTTATCTACATTATAACATGTTTAACCGTTACAAAAACTGAAGGCTGCTTTAACACTTATATCAAGGAAAGCCCTCTCAACATTAGAAAGACAGCTCTATGTGTATGACACATATTTGAGCCGCGTCATGACAAAACCAACATAATGGGTTTGCGACCAGCATGGATCAAGACCAGCCTGCGCACCGCGCAGTCTGATCAGGATCCATGCTGTTCGCTATCAGCTTCTCTACATGTCATAGGGTTTGTAATGGGACAGCATGGATCCTGATCAGACTGCGCGGATGCGCTGACTGGTCTGGATCCATGCTGGTCGCAAGCGCACTATGTTGGTTTTGTCGTGACGCGGCTCATTTAATGATAATGAAGACAAAACGCATGACCAATATTGATAAAAATTAACCAAAATATCATCAACCAATAATTAAAACTACAATAAAAATGTCATAAATAAAAACATGAAATCAATGAAATGAATTTAATATGGAATATGTAAAAAGAATACTGTAAAGTAATAAAAATGTTAATTCTTGAGAACAAAATAAAAAATTATGTGATTTGTTCAGAAAAATGAAATGTTAAAGTTTGTTGCTATGCAATATCAAGATATTCAATGTCTATCTCCAATTGAAACAATTTTTATTATATATATTGAAGTACTGAGTTTTATATACATGATATAAGTAAATGTAACATTGTACCCTGCTGACATGTTTGACTTCATTATGAGACAGTTTACAGTAGAAGAAGTATAAAATATCTTGATGAAAATCAGGTCTTTTACATTTAAAATCAGACCTTTCACATTAAAATTTAAAACAATGTTAAATAATCCTGATTCAAGCCAATATTTTATAATTTCAAACAATTTTGAAGTTTTCAAACCATTACTTTTTTGTTAAGTAATTAAAACACTGAAAAATTGGCATATTTATTGACATTCTTAATTCTAAACAATAATGTATATAAATAGTATTAATATTTTAACATTATAAGTGGTGTCTGGAGCTTAAAGCATTCTGAAATTGAACAATAGTTTAAGTTTCATATTGTCTATCACAACCAGCAATGTATTACAGTTTGTGGTGACTGTATTATAATATACCACATGCATGTTTGACTGGATCTTTGCACCCCAATTATCACTAGCAAAGCAAAGACCCATCCATATTCCCTTACGTTCTGAACAAATCACATTATTTTTGCGTTTCTTCAAATCACAGTTTTAAACAAACAGAACAATATGTATCGTAACACATAATTAACATTTTTATTGGACTGTTAAAGTCATATTTAACATTTCTACTGGACAGTTACACTCATATTGGACTGTTACACTCATATTTAACATTTCTATTACAATGTGACACTCGAATCTAACATTTTAATGGTCTCTTACACTCATCCAATAATTTTATTGGACTGTTACTCTCACATCCAATCATTTTATTGGACTGTTACACTCATATCCAATATTTTTATTGGACTGTTACACTCATATCCAATATTTTTATTGGACTCACTGTTACTCATATTCAAAATTTCTATTGGACTATTACACCCATAATAAACATTTTTATTGGACTGTTATATTTCATATTAAACATTTTTTGTCAAATATTACACAGTAATTCTATATAAAAATCCCACACCTGGTGTCATTCTACTAGCATTACTAACTAATTAAGGTGAAAACTTATACATTTAATTCTTGGCAAAAATTATCTAATTCTGTCATGTCTGCATAAAGCAATGTAATTATGCTTGCTTGTCAAAACATATCAGCAAAGCTAGTTTCTAATGCTTTTCTAAATCATGGCATAAAATCACTGTCACCATCCTCAAAAAAACGAGGAAATCATTATTAGTTTTTGCTCCTAATATTTCCCCCCTTTAAAACAACGTACCAACCACCTCCAAACAATGTACCAACCACCTCCAAACAACGTACCAACTATCACAATGTTTATTGTATTTCTATCACTATAAATCACTCTCAGTCCGATATCACATTTCAAAGAAGAAGAAATTTCAACAATCTTTAAACCATTGCAAAATTTTCAGCACTAAAAATGCTTCGTCTATATCCGAAGATATATTCTTCTTTCCTTCTCTGTAAATCCATGACTCCATGTTGGAATCAAAGGGGAACAACTCTGTCTTGGAAAACTCTCCAACTAAGGGAGGTTATCCGTAGTAAATATGTACAAATTAATATAGTTTTGAGATAAAGTGGCTACCGGTTTGGTAGCAGGTAACGTATATATGAGGACACATAGTTAAAGAAGTCACATATATGGCTCCAATTGTTCCAGGAAAGTATTAACGACAATACTAACACTGCAGTACTCAATATACGCGCCCTGAAATATAAATATTAAAAGAATCAGTGCACAATGAATCCTGTTTAAACTTTTGACCCTTGTCTTACTAAATTTTGTGTAACAGAAATGTTTGAACAAGATATGTTTGTAAAACATGTATGCCCCCTATCAGCAGCCAATTATTCATGTGATAAGGTAATTATGCATGACTTCTGACCCAGTGATCAAACAATTAATAAGTGTTATCAAGTATCTACTGGTCATAACCTTGACCTTTGACCCCTTGACCCAAAACTCAATAGGGGTCATCTGCTGGTCAAGACCAATCATCATACAAAGTTTGAAGTTCCTAGGCCTAAGCGTTTTTAGTTAATTGATCAGAAACCATTTTTACTTACAAGGTCAATGTGACCTTGACCTTTGACCCCTTGACCCCAAAATCAATAGGGGTCATCTGCTGGTCATGACCAATCACCATACCAAGTTTGAAGTTCCTAGGCCTAAGGGTTCTTTAGTTATTGATCGGAAATTGTTTTTACCTAAGAGGTCAATGTGACCTTGACCTTTGACCCTTTGACCCAAAATCAATAGGGGTCATCTACTGATCATGACCAATCACAATACCAAGTTTGAAGTTCCTAGGCCTAAGGGTTCTTTAGTTATATATCGGAAACTGTTTTTACCTAAAGGGTCAATGTGACCTTGACCTTTGACCCCTTGACCCCAAAATCAATAGGGGTCATCTACTGATCATGACCAATCACAATATCAAGTTTGAAGTCCCTAGGCCTAAGGGTTCTTTCGTTATTGATCGGAAACCGTTTTTACCTACAAGGTCAATGTGACCTTGACCTTTGACCCCTTAACCCCAAAATCAATAGGCGTCATCTACTGATCATGACCAATCACCATATCAAGTTTGAAGTCCCTAGGCCTAAGGGTTCTTTAGTTATTGATCGGAAACCGTTTTTACCTACAAGGTCAATGTGACCTTGACCTTTGACCACTTAACCTCAAAGTCAATAGGGGTCGTTTGCTGGTCATAACCAATCACCATACCAAGTTTGAAGTTCCAAGGCCTAAGGGTTCTTTTGTTATTGATCGGAAACCGTTTTTACCTAAGAGGTCAATGTGACCTTGACCTTTGACCCCTTGACCCCAAAATCAATAGGGGTCATCTACTGATCATGACCAATCACCATACCAAGTTTGAAGTTCCTAGGCCTTAAGGTTCTTTACTTATTGATCGGAAACCGTTTTTGCTTACAAGGTCAATGTGACCTTGACCTTTGACCCCTTGACCCCAAAATCAATAGGGGTCATCTACTGATCATGACAAATCACCATACCAAGTTTGAAGTTCCTAGGCCTTAAGGTTCTTTAGTTATTGATCGGAAACCGTTTTTGCTTACAAGGTCAATGTGACCTTGACCTTTGACCCCTTGACCCCAAAATCAATAGGGGTCATCTATTTGTCATGACCAATCACCATACCAAGTTTGAATTTCCTAGGCCTAAGGGTTCTTTAGTTATCACTCGGAAACCATTTGGTCTACGGACCGACGGACCGACAAGTGCAAAGCAATATACCCCCTTTTCTTGGAAATGGGGGCATAATTACGTACAATAGTTTACTCATAACTAATTGAGCTGCTTACAGTACAGAGCCTGGTCAGACTGTACGGAAGCTCAAGCTTCAGACTGGCCTGGCTCTATATTGGTGGCAAAGGCTGATCACTTTTGGTTCCAGTAATTTAAGCGTTAAGACATGTTCTATCAAGTACAAAAATTTCACCATTGATAAAGAGTTATGTTTACTTATGCTCTTAAAACAATTATAATTCTTAAACTTCACAGGTTATCTAAACAATGTCACGATCAATTTACTGATATTTAGTGATCTGTACAAAAATGAAAGGATGATGCTAAACTCATAATCATGTTGTCAAGTTATCACTCAGTCTGAATTATTTTGTGAGCATTTTCTTCAAATCTGCAGAAAGTTATTAAGTATATTTAAACTGTCCCACAATGGCAGCCTGGCTGAGTGGTTAACGCATCAGACTAGCAATCAAAGGATTGCTGATTGTGTGGGTTCAAACCTCGTCAGGGGCAAGCAGTTGTTTCTGTGAGTAAGAAACTTTATACTCATTGCTTAGTACTCCAGTTGTTTCCAGGAACGGATTCAAGAGTGTTTCAAAAAGCTTATAGCTTCCAATACATAATTATGAACTACAATAAATTTGTATAAACTAAACACATAATATCAATAATTTGCTTTCAAAATGGCACCAACTCCTCGAAACATTACAGAAAATCTATGAAGTATCCAGTTATACAAACCTGTTGGCAAGGAAAGGTGCAAGGAGATTGGCAAATGTGGAGACAAACACAAGTATCACAGCCAGTAGTGCCAGGACTACGTTGATCAGTTTGGTGAGTATCGTACGAAATGTGACATTTTCTACCATCTCCATAGAGATTATCTGTTGTTGTTGTTGCTGTAGTTCCATCTTCGTAATCTGTCAATGTAAAATATTTACATTTACATATCAGTCAATTAATAATACATTTACATATCAGTCAAATGAATAATACACATACTAAGTACTCTGTCAATATAAAATTTACATATCAGTCAATGTATAATATATATATATATACTCTGTACTCTGCCAATGTATATACATTTACATATAAGACAATATATATATACTCTGTACTCTGTCAATGTTAAATATACATTTACAAAACAGTCAATGTATAATATACATACATATTCAGTATTCTGTCAATGTAAAATATACATTGGGTATTGGCAGTCAATGTGAATTAAATATCCGGAGCATTGTCAATGTATGATATACATTTGGAACAATGTCAATGTAATGTACATCCAATTTTCGGTAAATATAAAATATACATTTGGTGCATTTGTTAATGTTAATTATATATATTGTATAAATAAACATTTGGTCTACCATCAATGTAGAATATACATTCTCTACACTGCCAATGCAAAACAAACATTTGGTTTATTCACTGTCAATGTTATATTCTGTACACTGCCAGTTTGAAATAAACATTAAATGGTCAAATGTCAACATAAAATACACATTTGATCAAATGTCAATGTAAAATATACATTTGGAACACTGCCAATGTAAAATATACATTCTACACAACAATAATTTACTTCTGAACAAACACAGCATTACATAATTGTTCAGTTATGTAGAATGATCTCAGAGAAGCTCTTTAAAACACTATAGCAATTGAAAACAACAACAACAACAAAATCTGAATAAATAAACTGATCAAAAATGCTTATAGAACTTTTACACAAAACTATATCTTTAAGCCATTAATCCTTCCTTAGAAAATCTAAAACCTTATCCTTCCATTTCTTTCATAGAATATCATGTCTTATCTTATGAATGATAAAACTCTTCCATGCTGACAAGATTAAAATATATGTATATATACATAATGAATTGTATAATTATGAGAGTTGTCCGAAGAAATTTTTGGACAATTTTACTTTCAACAATTTTCAGAAATTATTTAAAAAAAATTTAATGCATACTAATTTTTTTTATTCCAATCAATCCAAGTTAAACAGTCACTACATAACTGTACTGCTAGATTACATAACTACTTATTGATATAAATTATGACATCATCATACGAAATGGCATGCATTATACATGTTCATTATAAGCATTCAAATTTTGAGCATTTAAAGTTAAAAAGGTACCGCAAATGGTGACTTCAGATAAGAACAAAGAGAGACTGACAGTGATTTAGTTCTGTTTTCAATCAAGAATGACACTGAAAGATATATTAAACTAATAACACAGAAAAGAAAGATACATGAAAAATTTGTCTCCATGATAAAGTGTTTAAGCAACATGAGAAAATTCACTCCTGATGGTCAGAAAGTATGCCACATGGATTGTTTTTCGATGTTTACTGCGAACAAACTGTTTGAAAAATTACAGAAAAATCTGGAAAAAGTAAATTTTAAGTAAATCTGAGGTTCAGTGGATTCTAAAGAAAGTACATATGTTTTTAATGTAGTTTATAATTTCATAATCTTTGTGATATGTACATCTATCATAATTTAAACAGTCCACAAATTTCTTGTGACAACCCTCATTAAGATAAACCATGCAAAACAATTAATATAAAAGTAAGTTTGTCAAAATTCACCATTTTTATAGGACATTTGTTTGTAAATCACTTTGATACCACTCTCATTTTCACCTATTTCGCTTAATATAATGTACTCAAAGTGATCTTGGAGGGACTTGAGCAGCAAGTATTTGAAGTCAGTGGTCAAAATCAATCTATACCTAAGAGGCCCTTGTGATATCAAACTACCAAAGAGATGCTTGTCCTGAGTTACTAGGAAATAAGAAAGCTGAAAAACTTAACATTCAAACATAAATTTCCACTATTCTCAAAGGCCTGAATATATATTGTGGCTTTGAAACGGACATTCAAGTCATGCCTTTAGTGCCAAGGTAAAACTGACTTTCTGACATTTTGGCATCAAGTGAATACTTATACACAGGACATTTATAAAATGATAAGAAAAAGTTTAATCATGATTCCATTGAGAATGTAATGTAACAGGCAGAACAAGACACAAATTAAATGATGAGAATTCTTAATCAGTGCTCGAACTTGTTAAAAATTTGGAAAAACATGTACATTGTATATAATATTGATATGCTATAAAAAAAATTCATGCATCAATGAATTATAATCATGCAAGGTCTTATAATTAACAGCAAAAGTTATATATCACATGTTTATATGAAGAATTGGTCATAATTGAAATGAAAAGTTTATTATACAATTTAGATGATGAACTCTTAAACCGATTTAACTGTCAATGATATACGCCATTGCTACCAGTAAACAGCCACATCTGAGCAGTCTGACCAGGCTCTATAATATTAGTAGCTTAATTTCAGTACTTTGATGCGTGTATGTATGTGTGCATGGCTTGCGTACATTCGTATGTATGTATGCTGGCCTGACCTAGCTCTTTATTGGTTAAGCATCTGACAATCATTATTGCAGCTAACATGCAAAAAAATTTAAACTCACTTTAAAGGTCATAATACAAATGTATATGAAGTATATAATGAAGAAAGAGAGTAATGTGCTTATGATAAATATACAGTACAATAGCATATTTCAAAGTAAAAATTAAAAATAATTTAATGGTGAAACTCAAAAATACATACCATAAGCTAAACAAACAGAATTCTACTATAGTATAGTTATATTTTTGAAAAGAACAAAGCAGAAATAAACAATCATGCTTTTATAAGTAGCTCATAGATAAAGACTATAAGCAGGGCTTTTTTCCCTTTGATAGAAGTTCAGTCTCCCCCCCCCCCCCAACATAATATAGGTCATATATCTGTTCATTATTCCAGACACAAATGGGAACCCAAGTAGAACTACCAATGTTTGGTAAGCTAGCTGGATAGCTTCCTCACATGAAAGAATCCAAAATCCTGTTGGGATTCAAACCCACAGCAGTGAGGGGCAAATACTGTATTTATAAATGTACTTGGAAATTACCAGATAAATTTCTTCAACAACCTGTACCAAAATACCTGATACTTTTCTGCAGACTTTATTTTGAACATGACACTAGGTATATATAGAGCTGAGAACAAAAAGCCTTTTCTAAAGATTGATTAAACATGCAAAACATCATTTTCAAACTGGACCAACCCTTAATTTGCTGAATTTGTTAAATGGACTTGCCCAGCTTGGAATTTGGAACAGTCTATTCATTGTTTTGAGGGTTTAGTTATCAAACAACAAAAATTGTTTGAGCTATCAACAGTACTGTAGATAGTAGAGTCTGGCCAGACAGCACAGATGTGCAAGCTAACATGGCTCTATAATGGTGGCAAAATAATAAAATGGAATGGTCTAAAATGGGCATGTTTTCCATAAAGTATTTCAAGTATTGATAAAACTGAAATATTTATACTACATTACTATTTGACTGCGTCGAGGGTGTTATTTCAGTTCCTTGGTTACTAATATGCACTATTACCCTAAGAGACATGAGTAATTTTTTTTATTTTACCAAACCAACATTTAAACATAATTTTTCACCGCTATGCATTATTACTCATCATTGATTTATATCAGGGGAGAGAAGTAGAGCATTACAATTTTTAAGTCTATATAGATTACTCTCCCCTTGGGAATATTGCAAAGATGATGTTCATTTCCAGGATGATAGATCAAAATAACACCATGTGACGTCCCATTAGGCTATATAGTAAAAAGTTTACATGATGTGTAATAATTAATACCACCAACATAATTATCTATGGTATAACAGATCTTCAACTAAGGATCAACTCATTTTAAAACTTTTGGTTTCCAGCAGGCTTTTAAGGGTTTAATACATTTTTATTCACACCTGAATATCATTATGTAACCATCACCTGCACTTTACAAAACTGAAAAGGTAACAAGCATCCAGTGACAGATTGGAAGTTCAACTAAAAATGTGTAAAACCAACAGACTGAAATCGTGTACAAGTTATGGCCGAGTAATGGCCATGTTCCTATTGAGCTATGATATCAACTTACCCTGGTCTGACAATTCTCTAACAGATCTTGGATATCAGCCGTTCGTTCGTCCAGTCTGTATTCTATCTTCTCCTCCATACTGATTATATTCCCCATGTCCTGAAATATATCAAAGATATCCAATTGTTATAGTGTAAGAAGCAAACTTACACTTGCTGCTGGTACAGACCTGTAATATCTAACTTGATGGTAACTGTTTAAAGGGTAACATAGGTCTGCGGAGTTTCTACTTAACATGTACCGGAGTAATAATATCTGTCATATGTTGCCATTCGGACCGGAATATCCATCCCAAGGGGACCCGCCCATTGGGCAGGAACGAGGCTTGCCAAGTTACCGCCCATGGGCGGATTCCCGAGGGACGGATATTCCGATCCGAACCACAAACATATGTCAGACATTTTTACTTGCATATTCTGCCATATTATTTCATATTATAAATGGTTTACCTCAATATGATATATGTTCATGGAAATTAAAGTCATTTCATCCATAACTATTTTCTTACAATAGCGTATGAACTTACAACTTAAATAACAACAGCGAAATGGCGTCATCCTTAGCACATATTTCCCTTCTAAAATGACGTTATTTTAACGTGGTTTATTCATAAAGTGCGCTAAAATGACGTTGCTGTTTGGCATGCGACTCATCTGGCACCCCCCATGCCAGATGAAATTTCCAGCATGGGTAGAACTCACGGAAACGCCAGTCTGCTATGCAATAAAAAGTATGATGTCATTACATCCATGCAACTCTTTTATGAAGTCAGAGGAATGGCATGTGACTTATCTAACATGCAGGTTTAAGATGACATTTTCAAGTACGGAAGTAAACACTTCAAATTTAAGTCTCCATGAACAAAATACATTTTACCAAGCAACACGAGATTAGCATTGTTATAACAGTTGGTGTTCTTTCTTGAAATAGGATTTCTTCCTACTTATTACACAATTTCCTTTTACATGTATTTCTTGTTATTCACTAGTCTAAATTTGTTTTTTTAAATCAACAACATTATTTCACGTACCCAGGAATTTCTGCTGTAAATTTCTTTCAATTATTATCATATAATCAAAGCACTTAAAAGTACTGATGACAAGCGATTTTCTTAAAACAATCTTGGAAAAGAAATCCTGTACTGATTCTATACACCAAAACAACCTTTTTAGGTGGAAAATATTCCAAATTAAGTAATTCAATAAAACTTCTTGGTTCTTCATTATTTCCTAATCCCTAATGGTAACTATGCTTTTGTACTGATCAGGGGAGTCAAATATCGCTGGTCAACAGTTTATTAAGAATGTCTCCTTAAATATGACAAATGTAATTACGCTTAAAGACCCTTAGAAATCTTATATCTTATATCTAAAATTACGAAATGTGTTGTTATGTTAATTGGCTAACTTTGCTGGAATCCGGCTTACCTGTTTCAAATTGTTCACCTGATGTTGATTCAGATCTGATATATCATTCATTTGTTCTTCCATACGCTCTATTCTAAATCTATCCTCTTCCAACATACCCTTAATCTGACCCAGCTCTTGCTGACTCCCAACCTGCAAAATATGTAACTTGTTTAAGCAATGATTCTGTATAATGGATATAAAGATCTTTGAATTTTGGACTAATACATATGCCAAGTTTCAGGGTTCCAACACAAAACAAAATATGAATCAGGTAACAGTATCAAGTAGATTTACACTGAGACCAAAGCATTGGCTGGCATTAGTACAGATATGACATATTAGGGATAGGGACAAAAGCCCTCCTGTGAAAGTGACAGGGCAGACAAAAGCCCTCCAAATCAAAAAATTGAACTCTTTAACTTGTAAAAAAATGTTATAAAGCCTTTAAGAGGTTCCCTTTATAATAATTTCTTGAACTGGTTTAATAAAATTTTACATTATATGAAAACTCATGGATATACAAAATAATTTCTTGATTTTTTTTTAATAAAAATTTTACATTAGATGCCGTACATATATTGTGTAATTTGTTTACCAGATTTGAGGTAGAAATTAAGAAATTCAGTGTAATAGAATACTGTGTAAAGTCTGTGTTACCTTATAAGCATCAAAGTCATCTATAACTCGTTGTAATTTTTCTTGCAGCATATTACTACTCTCTTTCGATTCTCTCAATTCCTGAATAAGACTATCAAGTGCCCCCTGAGGTATAACAATCTGCTGGGAGGCATTCTGTGAGTTGGACTGTGGACTGCTGTGGGCTCCGAACCCAGAACCTGATGTAATACTTGACTTTTCCTCATCAGAATCAAACTTGAAGCTATAAATAGACAATGACATCACTTCCAGTTACTATAAATAGCAATATTTCATCAGTTTCTACAAATAGAATTTTTATTTTTATTAAAAAATAGTTTACCTCTGTTGTTATAAATAGAGCATTGCCAAGAAAAGTTGGCAAAAAGCCTCTTTGTAATATTACATATAAACACATGTAGATGTATAACACCTTACCAAAATTTTTGTCAGCAATGCCCTTATTAATGAGCCGCGTCACGACAAAACCAACATAATTGGTTTGCGACCAGCATGGATCCAGACCAGCCTGCGCATCCGTCCAGTCTGATCAGGATCCATGCTGTTCACTTACAAACCCTATAACAAGTAGAGAAACTGATAGCGAACAGCATGGATCCTGATCAGACTGCGCAGATGCGCAGGCTGGTCTGGATCCATGCTGGTCGCAAACGCACTATGTTGGTTTTGTCAGCAATGCCCTTATTTTATTGTATACAACTAAATGAGCAAATACAGTAACTTAGCATTAAGGTAACAGAAAGCAACATACAAACATAATTACAACAAAAGCAGACAACATTTTGTAATGCCACAACACCAGCAGTAAAAAACAAAATTACGTTATTTCAATTTTAATCAAATATCTTGTATGTCTAATTGATAAATGTAAGCTATTTCTCATTAAACAATCTTCAAATAGGTAAGATTCTTTAATATGAAAATGGTTGCTTAGTAATACATGATAGTAATATGATAAAGTAATAAAATTCTCACACCAAATAAATAATGTTGAATAAAATGTTAACATAAAATATATGTCTTAATTAATGAAAGGTTCTTATCATCTGGTAATTTCTATGAAATAAAATTGACAACAAATTGTTATGTCTAGCTGACGATTTGTTTCCTGTTCTTCTATTTTTAGAAACGAACATCAATGGCACACTTTAATAAGCACTCGGGGTGCTCTTTTGAAAAATACTTAGTAGTGATATGATGCACTTTTCCAAGTAAAATTACTGAAATACTTAGTTTGAAACAGCACAGAATTGTTTTTCTAACAAAAAAAGAAAAGCTGAAGGCTCAGCTTTAAGTATTTAAATCTTATTGATAAAATGAGATAACAACAATTTTACAAGGAAAAATAGCGAAGCTTTGCAAATTAAATAGCTAAAACAAACTAAATGTCAACTCAAAGGAGAAGAATAGTGATTAAACATCACCATAGCAACTGTACTTTTACATTTATCATAATGTGCAGTGTGTGTATCATAATTTAGAATGTTACAATTAAAAATAAAATTGAAGAGAATGTTGGTCCCTATAGCAACTGCTCTTATCATTACACATATTCATCTTACTGCAGTATTAGCTATACATTATTATGAAATAATTTTACGAAATTTATAAATGGTAAAATTTTGTTGTTTTCACAGCCTATGGTCATTTCTTGAAAGATTCTCTGTTACAAATGAATATTGCTCAAAAACAGAAAAAAAATGATCTGGAATAAAATATTTTTCTTCTAGTAAACCATAAAGCAATGATTTCTTGAGACAATTATACAGTATTTTACAAACATATATTCACCATAAAGTTATTTTGGAATTATCCTTTTTCAAAACAACTACTGGCAGAAGATTTTATAGCTAATTATACAATTTAATCAATTATACCTTGTTTAAAGAGGGATCTTCATTTACAAAATTGGGATAAGGCAATAAAAATTTCAATAAAGAATAATAAACTTTAACTGAAACTGTCACAGGTCTGGCAAGATTACCCCCACATGCCACTTTGTCAACAGAGTAATTATTTTGGCTGACAGCTTAATTCTATAAATGCATGAGACTTAAAAATATACATCATTAGATTGTTTGAACAGGCTACATCTTTATTTTTAAAGGCCATCAACAATCCCATTTTCATGCATGGTAGATGATCAACTAAGAGTTAGGAGTGATATGCAATTTTTAGACACATGTATTTTCTTAGTGATCACAGGGTTCTTGCCACAACATACAATCCGATTAAAATCAGATCATAATTAAAGCTATGCATAAGGATCTGACAGGCACCAATAGGAGGTCACCTTCTTGTGACCTTTCAAACTGCTTATCATTGGCGAGCTTTTTCACAAATTTGAAAGCAATGCGGTTTCTTATTTTAACTGCTGGAGTAGGTAATTTTTACAATTTCAAGGGTCCTTCCCATTATTACCATTCTTAGAGGGCATTTTCATTCTGTTATTGCAAATCTGGCATAGCATAAAATTATGTATGGTGCTTGTTTGAAATGTACAATAAACTTGATATTGGAATGTGTTCTGGCAATTCGACACACCTCATGACAAACATCTTTAATACATGCATTGTTAAGAAACATTTTAATGCATTCATCTTTGAAGAAATCTTTGTTAACTTAGTGCGGTCCATCTATCATAAATACTGCCACAGTAATAGTCCTGCCAGCATATTTAAAATTCAAACACCCTGACTCAGCAAAATTGGAAGCATTATATTAAATTAAACTGTTTTACAAAACCAATTAATGACATCAAACAAATACATGCATATTAATTCCCAGAACCTTTCATATCCTAGTCAATTAGTAACTTATCTGCGCAATTCTTATCATTCACAACCAATACAACATACATGAAGTTATATAATTATCTGCATACAAAATCACTACATAAAATTTTCATTTCTGTTACAACAGGCCATATTGTTTAACACTGCAGGGATGACGTGTCACACATGCATAAACAGATGTCACCACCTAATTTTCCAGAAAACATTCAAAAGGCAATAACTATTGCATATAAATGCACAGGAATTAAAACTTGATTTGTGGCGGCTGAACTGTTGTAAATTCAATGTGACTTACTGCTGTGATCTGGAGTGAAAACTACCAAAAACATCACCAACTTTATTGGAAGAATACACATGCTAGTACAAACAAATTATATAAAGTTTTAAATGAAATCTATCAAGAAACATTTACAAATCTGTAGGCAAATTGCTTCATAAAATATTCAGAAAGGCCATAAATGGGGGTAATAACACAATTTTAGAAGGGAGTAGGCAACATGCTGGTAAAAACAGTTTATATTAGTTTTAATCAATCTTATATAGCAGACAAAAGGCTAGAAGTGTTGACTGAATGGCAAGGGGACAAGCTGACACCAGTACACCCCCTTTGGCTTTCAAACTTTTTTACTGGGTTACGATAATGAAACTTATATACAAATATGTAAAATATCAACTGACAACCATGATTACCATAATTCTAACTTTATAAACGTAAACAAGAGCTGTCGGTAGGACAGCACGCTCGACTATTCTAAGTGCTTGATAGTAAAAGAGCCTTGATAATGTTAAATTTTTTAAGTTCACAAAAGGGCTAATTTTTTTTTATAAATTCATGTTATAGGCCTTAGAGAGAGTCTAATTATACAGTATTGGCTTGACTATTCGGAAGGTAATGTCACAAGGGTGTTTTATTGAGTATAATAATACTAATTACCTATGAATACATAAATTTGACAGAAAAGGTACAAAGGCTTGTTATTAAGATGTTTTATCAAGTAAATCACTGCTTTATTATTATGAATGCATAAAATTGTCCCAAAAAAGGCACAAACCCTTCAGTAGTTATGGAGATAACAGCTTACAAGCAAAACTTTACCATGAATTTCTAAGTTGAAAAAGGGGAGAAAAATCAGCCTAAATGCAAGATAGAATTATGGATCTTTGTCAGTGACCTACAATTATGACCCTAAATGCATATGTGAAGTTTTAAATAAATATCTTTAATAGTTATTGAGATATGTAAAACTTGCATGTAAACATTAACCAAGAGACTAAGTAGAAAAGGGGATATGAATCAGCCCTAATGCAAGATAGAGTTATGGAACTTGGTTTCTAAGTTTCAAAGGGGCAAATAATTCTGCAAATATTGCAGGCAGAGTTATGCAATTTTGCAAACTGATGAACATTGTTACTATAAAAAAGTATTTTAAATTTCAATTGAATATCTCAAGCAATAATTGAGATATTTAACTTTACAAAAAACTTTAACCAAAATTTCTAAGTTATAAAGGGGCATAATTCTGTCAATACTGTAGGCAGAGTTATCCAACTTGTCAATCTGATGTACCTTGTTACTATAAATAAGTATTGTAAGTTTCAAATGAATATCTCAAGCAATAATTGAGATATTTGACTTTACAAAAAACTTTAACCAACGCAGACGCCGACGCAGACGCCGGGGCGACTACAACAGCTCTCGTATTCTTCGAATAGTCGAGCTAAAAAAAACCTTTAAATTTTAAATTATTTCAACCAATGAACTGGTAATATGTAAGGATATTTAAATATCAATGTACTAAAATCTCCATTAGTGAAGGCATCAACTGCACTTATGATACTGTACAAAATGGCATCTGAGGTCGTGTCATAAAGCCATAAGGTAGTCATTTATTATCCATCAAGCACTCAGAGACATAAAAAAAAAGTAACTTCGAAAATCTCTCTCATCTAAGCCTGCCAATACTGGCAACATTGTTAATGGATTATGTAAAAAAAGAAGCCCACAAAACTATGATTAACATTTGTAGCCTTAAGCCTCACAGATTTCCAGACATGATTCCTAGCTGCCAGTATAATAACATTTCTAAGACCGGTTAGTTTAGCCCCGGCTTTCATTCATTTCTTGTGTCATCAATCTATCACTCTATTACAGCTTCTATTGTCTTCATCAATTCCGAGATGATTTTGTCATACTTAGTTTCTCAGGATATTTATTTTATAACCTCTAACATCGATTCGTATTAGAGAAACAGACTCGAGCTTTTTTTTTGGGGAACTTTTCCAAATCTTTTGTTTTTTGGGGCTTTTAAAATTTTGTTCTAAATTAACCCTTTTTAAAAAATTCCCATTAATTTAAAAAGGGTGAAAAAGGTCCAATAAATGACAGTTTAACCAAAAATAATTTTTTTTAATTTTTTCGACCTAAAAATAAATTTTGTTTAATAAGTAAAAAAGGATTTTTTGGCGGGGAAAAGGGTTTAAAAAAATTTTTAATTTTTCTTTAAAATCATGAAAATTTTAAATTTCTTTTTGAAGTCCCCGGGCCCAAAAAAATAAACTTTAGGGGAAACAAAAATTTTCCCTTTAAATTTTTTCTCTGGGGCATACGAGGGCCCCTTGACCAAAAAAAAAAAATTTTTTAAACCGATTTCCAAAAAAACCCAAACTTTAAATTTTAACCCTTCCAAAAATTTTGCAAAATGATACAACATAAAAGATCATATGATACCATCAAATATCGACTAACCACTAAAATATATACAACAGGAGATAATTAGTACAACAAGTGCAGTGATCTTATATTAACTGGCCACTAACACATATGAATAATACGAATAATACGAATACTACGCATAGAAACACAAGAAGAGATTTCTACAATTAGTGTTGTGATCAACAGTAATTGAGGTACTAAAACATCATACTAGGGGTGTCACGGTTTGAAAATTTTTTAACTGTTTCAATGGTAACCTAATAAATATTAATCTGTTAAATATTTACCCGACTATACTAATAAAATCCTTAAATTTTCAACATTAACTTTGTTTCTTTATGACAAGATATGAAATTTTGTTTGTAAGTTAGTATTTTGTTGTATTCAATATGATTACAATACATATCCGAATATGGGGTAACTATTTTCCGTTAGGGCCGTACCTTACTCGATCAGATTGGAAAAAGTACATTGTACACTTAGAAATACAAACAAATTGTCATTTCTTGTTATTAAAAAACTAACGTAATATATTTAGAATCAATTTAAAACTTTTTTGCCTCTTTGTCAAATACTAACCATGGTAATACCACTTTTCTTTATTTTAGCTAAAAATCTGTTAACATTGATAAAAGTGACACCCCTATGTACTATAAACTTTGGTATACATATACAAACAGCAAAAGCTATTTCATACATCAAGCAGGATCTGGTTTTATAAGGGCAACTTCTGTTCATCAAAAAAACTACAATATCATTAATCCCCCCCTCCCCCACCCCCTCCTGGAACTTTTTTTCTCCTCTGATCTTTTTTAACCCATAACCTGCGGATTTTCATAAATGCACATGACTAACTTCAATGTTAACTGTCTACTATGATAATAAGTGTTGGGAATAACAACATATAATAAGATCTGCTGTATAAAGCCAGGTCTGACTGCACAGATGTGAAGACATAATAAATTTATTGGGGATCTTTTTTTTTCTTTTGGTTCCTTCTGGTTCCAGAAGGGTAATATTAAAATTTATTCTGTATAATGTAAAAGACTTAAATTAAACAAGCATTTAAAACCACCTCTAAGATCAAGCTAAACAAAGTTGCCCTTTTACACAAAACCTACCTAGGGGCTTGTGTTTCTTCGTTTTTACCAGTGAAAGCTACCTCCCTGTAAATATCATACAGATTTACCTCCCTTGTTAAAGACTGTGACACAATCTGTACAGAGTTGTCTTTCTTTTTTTTTATTGCAGAATGTCATATTTATGTATGACTTTGTGTAATACTATGTAGCAAAGTCAACTATATATATGAAGCCTTTTTGACAATCATTATATGAGGATATGGTAGAAAAGTTTTGATTTCTTATGTTATAAACCTTTAATATTTGCCACAGTATAGCTCAACAGCATAAAAGGCAATGTATGGAAAGACAACTCTATAGATACATAAAAATATGAAATACTGTATAGATAATATATAATAAATTATGTATGGAAAAACACTTCTGTAATAACATTAAAAACATTAAATACAGTACTGTTAATCTGAAAAAAAAAAGATTATAAAATTCAACACAAACTTGATTGGCAAAACTGTAATTATTAGAAAATCAAGAGGTTTTGCAATTAAATAAATTTTTAATCACTTAAAACTCACACATGACACGAAGATTATACTTAGTTCTGATAACATGACATTACATAACATAACATAACATATCATATCATAACAAAACATGACATAACATAACATATCATATCATATCATATCATATCATAACATAACATATCATAAAATAGCAAAGCATAATATATAACATACAATCATGTAATTTTAACACATGGTGATAACATTAACTTTAAATAACATGATTGTAACATAATGTAACATGACATGATAATTGACATGACATGACTCCAAACAGTAAAATAACGTTTTAACATGATGAAGAAAAGTAAAACTGTTAGGTTAACTGAAAGCTTTAACAGGACCTGGGTATTGGATCTTTCCATTTAATACAGTGCATACTACAAAAGTGAAAAAAAAAAAATACTTTTTTTCATTATGTCACTAAAAAAAAACATTTTTATTCTCCATCAAAATGTAGCTAAATTGCCCTACTTATTTTTTGTTTGTTTTTTTTTGTTTTGTTTTTTTTTGGTTTGGTTTTTTGCGCCACACAAACACAGTAAAGGTCATATGGCAACTACCTGCTGTTAGATCAAGGTCATTAAATAGGTCAATGTCAAGTTTGGTTTGACCTACTTATAGGTGTTTACTATAAGGTTGTTATATCCAAGAATAAATTAAAAATATCTATTCATTACAATTACAATTTTAGCAAAATTCAATAATTTGACCTTACAAGTTATGGCCAATTTTAACACAATTCAATAATTGACCTTCACGGTCATGTTAAGGTCAAAGTCAAATATAGTTTGACGTATTTAAAAACATTATTAAAAAGATTGTTATGTCAAAGTATAGATATAATGCATCCATAAATAAGAAAGTTATAGCCTGAATTACCAACAATTTCAGCAAATTTTAAGCAATTAACTATGAAGGTCAAGGTCATTTATTTGGTCATTGTCAAATTCCTTATAATATGAACATAGACATCATAAAAAATATTCATGTCAAGTTTCAATAAAACTGGTGTGTAATTATAGACCCTTCTTATCAATAATAATAATATTAAAGAAGATTAGTGTGACCTTGACATTTTGACCCAAAATAAGAATGGAACCTAAATACAAAGTTTGAAGTTCCCATGTAAATGCACTCTGATTTAAATAAAATGGCCAGATTTAATGCTTTTGTTATTATGGGTCCCAATGACCTTTTGACCAGAAAATGTGTGTGTCAGGTCACTAAGCACCTATCAAGATGCATTCACATATTTTTGTTTCAATGTAAAAGCTTTGTTAGTATTGAAGTTCAATAATGACAATACAAGCGACTTAATGGTTTTTTATGCTGAAGCCATAGCATAAGTAGGGCGTTTAACATAAACTCCTACTTTTTCTGCCAATAATAGTCAAGCTGATATAACCGTAAGCATGCTGGTGGCCATACAGCCAGTGCAGACAAAGATCATCTGGCACAGCCATGCTCACTCAGATAATGCTCAGTTCCCTATTTATTTAGTACATATCTATTTATTTAGTACATATTTTTGAAAATTCCCAAAAGACAATGAATAGTTTTGTTTCAGTGGTAAAGATGGAGACATTCATTTAATATAATTAGTATGGTAAGGTTCATTTAAGATATTTAGTATGGAAAGGACAAAACATATCATCATATATTTACTTATTTTATGTAATGTTGTTCAGTCAATGCCATTTACCATTATATGATTTATCATGCATAAACTTTGGCAAGGAAAAAACACAAATAAATATATCAAGTATGTGGATAGATTTTAAAAATAAATAATTTAAATTAAATAAGTGGATACAACTTTAAAACTAAAAAATTAAAGAAGTGGGCAAATTTTTTAAATAAATATATTAAATAACTGGATACTATTTTTTAAATAAATATTTTAAACAAATAATAGACAAAAACAAGAATATGTATTTGGAAAAACACAAATTCCCCAGGCCAACCTAACAACTTTTCCAAAAAGGTTTTCCATTTTTTGGTTATGGACAGAAAAATGGCTAAAATTATTGTAAACACTTTTTAAATATAAATTGACAGAGTCATGGCCTTTTGTTATTGTAAAAAAAAAATGTAACTTGGCAATGTCTTTGCTATGTGACGAATTACCAATCAAATACAATATAAAAATGACCTTGAACTTTAACCCAGTGATCCCAAACTCCACCCAAACTTAAAGGAACACCAAATGTATGTTCTTTCCAAGAATGAAACAAGAGGGCCATGATGGCCATTAGGTCGCTCACCTGTATATAGGCCCCCCCACACCCCCGGGCCAATTTTTACCCAAGGGCTTTTATTTGTTTATTTGAACAGACTTGGTAGACACCCATAAGAAGATGTTTCATGCTTAACATCTAAGTTCTAGCTCATTGGCTTTTTTAAAAGAAGATTTTTAAAGTTTTTACTATACACATATAGTTAAAAACAATGACACCCTTGGGGCAGGGCCAGTTTTGACCCCCCGGCGTTTATTTTAACAAACTTTGTAGATATTTATTTAAAGATGTTTCATGCTTAATATCTAAACTCTAGCTATTTGGGTTTTTCCAAAGAAGATTTTTAAGTTTTTGCTATACACATATAAGGAAAATCAATGACCCCCCCCCCCCCGGGCCAGTTTTGACCCCAGGGCTTTTATTTGAACATACTTGGTAGACACCCATTAGAACATGTTTCATGCTAAATATCTTAGCTCTAGCTCTTTGAGTTCTTTAGAAGAAGATTTTTTAAGTTTTTACTATATGCATATAGGGAAAATCAATGACCCCCTGGGGCGGGGCCAATTTTGACCCCAGGGCTTTTATTTGAACAAACTTGGTAGACACTCATTAGAAAATGTTTCATGCTAAATATCTTAGCTCTAGCTCTTTGGGTTCTTTAAAAGAAAATTTTTTAAGTTTTTACTATATGCATATAGGGAAAATCAATGACCCCCGGGGCGGGGCCAATTTTGACCCCAGGGCTTTAATTTGAACAAACTTGGTAGACACTCACTAGAAGATGTTTCATGCTTAATATCTTAGCTCTAGCTCTTTGGGTTCTTTAAAAGAAGATTTTTAAGTTTTTACTATATGCATATAGGGAAAATCAATGACCCCCTGGGGCGGGGCCAATTTTGATCCCAGGGCTTTTATTTGAACAAACTTGGTAGACATTCACTAGAAGATGTTTCATGCTAAATATCTAAGCTCTAGCTCTTACGGTTCTTTAAAAGAAGATTTTTAAGTTTTTACTATATGCATATAGGGAAAATCTATGACCCCCAGGGGCGGGGCCAATTTTGACCACAGGGCTTTTATTTGAACAAACTTGGTAGACACCCATTAGAACATGTTTCATGCTAAATATCTTAGCTCTAGCTCTTTGGGTTCTTTAAAAGAAGATTTTTTAAGTTTTTACTATATGCATATAGGGAAAATCAATGACCCCCCCCCCCCCGGGGCGGGGCCAATTTTGACCCCAGGGCTTTTATTTGAACAAACTTGGTAGACACTCACTAGAAGATGTTTTCATGCCAAATATCTAAGCTCTAGCTCTTATGGTTTTTTAAAAGAAGATATTTAAAGTTTTTTCTTTTGGTTGCCATGGCAACCAGAGTTCTGCATGGAATTAAATTCTTTGAACAATTTTTAAAGGTGACCACCAAAGGAACATTCCTGTGAAGTTTGGATGAAATTGGCTCAGTGGTTTATGAGGAGATGTCATTTAAAGCAAAAGTTTACGGACGGACGGATGACGGACGGACGGACGCCGTCGAAAAGCGATCACAAAAGCTCACCCTGTCACTTTGTGACAGGTGAGCTAAAAAATGTGCAAAAATCTATTGTTAAGTTGTTAGCACATATGTCCTTCACCCCATGACCCCCAAGCCTGGACCATCTGAATATGAAAAACGTCAGTCAATAAATGAAGGCCATACCAGCAGAAGTAAAAAATTCTATTTTTGGCATTGATGATCTTGACCTTGACCTAAATGATCCCTATATCTACTCAAAGGAAAATGGCAATTCTCTGCATCTTGTTGTAACTTTCTTTGTTAATAAGTACATAAAATGCACCCCATTCAAACAATAATATAATAAATAACATATGATTTAGGGATAACATGGTACACAATAATGATTATGACTTATCCACTAGTATGTATCTATTTTCACTAGTATATACACATTCAATGCAATTCTCCACCAAGTTGCACATGTTGAAATGTTATTATGATATGTAGAGACAGTTAATGTGCCTACTTTAGTAAATACCTTATTACCCTATAAAATATATTGATATGGTAATGTAACAAACCTAGACAAAATCTATGCAAAATAAGATATTCCCTCCAAATCTATATTTAAATCTATATTTAGAAATCTGAATATAAAGTCTGTTCATGAAACTTGAGAGAAAAAAAGCAAGTGTATCTCTCTCCCACCCACCCCATCCCATTGCTGGCTTAACAGTATTCATTCTTTAAGCACAACTACAAAAATTTTTTTTAAAAGAAAGAAACCCCATCAATCTTAAATCTTAAAACTAAAGCTTATAATGCTATGTCTTCCATTTCAATACAATGCATCCTGAACAGACTCTGAAACAAAGTGTAATTATTTGTAAGCCTTTTAGATAAACAACATAACACCAAATTATATTTGATAACCCATAAAATACAAAATATAAATGATAAGGTAAAGATATAAATCTAAGGCAGATAGAAAAAATATTTGAAGTTTCTCAAAAACAAAATAATGAAATTTTGCAGAACTGTACATTGATGATATACAAAATAATTCTGTAACATTTCACTTTGAATATTTCTACAAACCAATATAACACTTAAAAATACCCTATAATGTCCAATTTAAAAATTCACCCAGACCTTTTTGGCAAAAACTTCTTTTTAGATTTACCTTTCCTTCATCATAAAATCCATTTAAAATTAAATGTGAAGGGAGAAAACTGTTGGTACATTTCAACTAATAACTGTCTATAGCCCCATATTTCTGAGGCATAGATAATAATATTATCTTTGAAATTTGAGAAACTCCAATATCTTTAAAGCCTTAGATACTAGTAAAAGCATTGTGGGGTGATATAAATGCTATGTTAATCAAATGCTTTCCCACAAAAAAGTCTCTACCTTGTAAACTGAGGCTTGAATCTGAAGAAATCAGAAAGTTCAGACATAAAATTAAGTACACAGCAAGAAGCATATGAGCCGCCTCACGACAAAACCAACATAATGGGTTTGCGACCAGCATGGATCCAGACAAGCCTGCGCATCCGCGCAGTCTGATCAGGATCCATGCTGTTCGCTATCAGTTTCTCTACTTGTAATAGAGTTGGTAAGCGAACAGCATGGATCCTGATCAGACTGCGCGGATGCGCAGGATGGTCTGGATCCATGCTGGTCGCAAACCCATTATGTTGGTTTTGTCATGACGCGGCTCATATACTGTTCTTTGATTTCCTCCTTTGTTGTAAAGTGATTGGATTTAGCCAATTATTTTAAATCAGCACAAATACAGCAGATTTGTCAAAATTAACTTATTTTCATGAAGAAAAAAAAACCTTTCTTGTGTTGACAAGTTCTTGTTTCTCATATATTTATGAATGAAATAAACTTTTACAAATATCTGTAAAATATACTGCTCTAAGGTTGAGAAAATGTGACGCTGTATTTAACCAAGATTTTTTTTATAATTTTGACCACAGGAGCATGATTTAAGTAACTTTTGAGAGAATCACAAGGTGGCGCTACATGCCAAATATCTAAGCTCTGGTCATTGTAATTTTTGACAAGAAGATTTTTATAGATCTTACTTTTAAAGTCTATTTTTAGCTCCTGTGACCTACTTATATATCAGACTAAAACCATTTATATAACCTTTTTAAAGGACCACTTAAGGATCATTCTTGTAAAGTTTGGTCAAAAACCACAAATAAATTGTTGTCAAGGACAGAAAAAGAACGTAAAACAATGGAAGATGAACATTGCCATCACAAAAGTTGTCTTTTGTGAAAAGACTTTTTTGGGGCTCAAATAGAGTCTCTGTTTGGAAATAACCACAGATGTCATTAAAGAAAGACTATAATTATGAAGTAACAGACTGAGTAACTAAAATGAATTATGCCGGTTCTAAGACTATCATAATATTCAAACAAAAACTGCTAGACTTATTTTGTCAAAATTATTATTTAGGGTATTAATTTCTCCCAATATTGTAAATTTAAACATCAATATTGAGGCAGGATACACCGATTTAAAAAATAAATTAATTTTTTATGACAATTGGGAGCGATCTAAGAGCTAGAACCAGTTATGTTTTGTCTCAGACTGATGCCAGAAAAATGCATATATATATATCAACTAAAATGGTTTAACTATAGAGGTGACTTTTCTAAAGTGTTAGCAGAAAGCTAATGAATAAAAATCAGGTTAAATACAGTAAACAATATGTTAAAATATACTCTATGTTATAAGAAATGGTATATATTGTAAAACTACCAAATTGTAAAACTACCAATCATCTATTTCCTATTTTATTGCACCCTGTTTTTTAACTTTTCAAAATTGATTTCTCCTTGATCACTAAAACCATTTATGATTAAAAATTGTTTTTTGGGTTTTTTTTAAGATAAAAAAAGACTAATAGATTTTTTTTTTTTTGTTATCAGGCAGTCAACAAAAGCCATTAGCTGATTTTGACCCCCATAGTGATGGTATAGGCAAAATTGTACGTTTAGATTTGAACATATTTAATAATTGTTTTGAAACAACCTTTAATAAATAGGTTCATTTCTTTTACAAAATATTTTTTTTTTTAACAAATCAAAAAAGAAACAGCACAGACAAGAACACCCAAAAAATAACCCAAAACATACTGCCAAGAGATAAAATAAACTCTTATAAATTCAGTACATACACTACTAAAAGAGCCTATAAAATTTAGTACTATGTGCAACACTATCATAATTGACTCTGAATATCACCAACTTAGTGCAGTAACACTCTGGTCAACTTCTATTGTGAAACAATAGGAATTAACCTGTTACTGCACCCAGGTAATGTTTTGTTATTTCAGATAAGACAGTATTGCACTTCATCCTTAGAATAAGTTTGTATAAAGTCACTCTACCTGGCGGGCAATGTCCCTCCTCCCTGAGATTTTTCACCCTCCTCCATCTGGCCATCTTCTGAGACCTCTGAAATTCCCCGAAGAAAAAAAATAGTATGTTAAGATTCACATGTAACATATAATTCCATGTTATAGATATTTATTTCAACTGAACGTAATACTGTAATTTTCTGAAGTTAAAGAAATGAGACAAAATTCTGTGATCTAAGTGAGTATTTCTTAAAATAACAGCATTGTGTAAGAAAAACAAAGTTAAAAATAGCATAATGTTATGCAAAAATTAAAACTTTACATAAATATTTTTGCACCCAGCTAATATTTACAATATGTATCTGGTATCAGTTAAAAAAATTAACATTACCAACTCAAGTATTGCATTATCTTAATAGGTTTAGTGCCAGAATTTAAAGGTAATACAATCAAATACTGTAAAGCTGTCACCAAATAACAAAACAAGTATTTTTAAATTTTGAACCATCATTAATCAAACTGTTTCTTACAATGCACAGTATCATCTTCAACAAAACTGTCATTAAAAATCACATCATTTACAGGGAACAATGAGCCTCACACAATAATCAAACACATGAATCCATTGTTTGTTTACCTAATGTATAAGTCAATTGTAATGCTGCCAAGCAAAAGTGAGCAAGGGAAATAACCTGAGTTCTAACCTATCAACTGTGGCAATTTTGTGGAGGTTCTGGCACCAAAATTGTGAGGATATGCCTGACTCTGGCACCAAAATTGTGAGGATATGCCTGACTCTGGCACCAAAATTGTGAGGATATGCCTGACTCTGGTACCAAAATTGTGAGGGTATGCCTGACTCTGGTACCAAAATTGTGAGGATATGCCTGACTGGCACCAAAATTGTGAGGGTATGCCTGACTCTGGCACCAAAATTGTGAGGATATGCCTGACTCTGGCACCAAAATTGTTGAGGGTATGCCTGACTCTGGCACCAAAATTGTGAGGGTATGCCTGACTCTGGCACCAAAATTGTGAGGGTATGCCTGACTCTGGTACCAAAATTGTGAGGGTATGCCTGACTCTGGTACCAAAATTGTGAGGATATGCCTGACTCTGGCACCAAAATTGTGAGGGTATGCCTGACTCTGGCACCAAAATTGTGAGGATATGCCTGACTCTGGCACCAAAATTGTGAGGATATGCCTGACTCTGGCACCAAAATTGTGAGGATATGCCTGACTCTGGTACCAAAATTGTGAGGATATGCCTGACTCTGGCACCAAAATTGTGAGGATATGCCTGACTCTGGCACCAAAATTGTGAGGATATGCCTGACTCTGGCACCAAAATTGTGAGGATATGCCTGACTCTGGCACCAAAATTGTGAGGATATGCCTGACTCTGGCACCAAAATTGTGAGGATATGCCGGACTCTGGCACCAAAATTTTGAGGATATGCCTGACTCTGGTACCAAAATTGTGAGAATATGCCTGACTCTGGCACCAAAATTGTGAGAATATGCCTGACTCTGGCACCAAAATTGTGAGGATATGCCTGACTCTGGCACCAAAATTGTGAGGATATGCCTGACTCAAAATATGATAGATTTAATCATCTGACTTTAACCAGATTTAAAAATCCAAAAAGACCCCCTTTTACCCCACAGAGGGTGTAAGGGTACTGGCCCTAAATTTGAACGGTACATGACACACATAACTATGCTCATCGGGCAGTGACACTGAGAGAGATTTTAACTCAATTACAAACTGAATTTATGAACTGTAATAAAAACTGTCAAACATTGCTTAGAAAGTTTATACCTGCCTGTCCTAAAAAAACTTTACTGATCTGTGCTCTCACTATATTTTACAACAAAATTATACAGGAACAAGATATGTTTGTAAAACATGTATGCCCCCTATCAGCAGCCAATTAGTCATGTGATAAGGTTATTATGCATGACTTCTGACCCAGTGATCTAACAATTAATAAGGGTTATCGAGTATCTACTGGTCATGACCTTAACCTTTGACCCCTTGACCCAAAACTCAATAGGGGTCATCTGCTGGTCACGACCAATCATCATACAAAGTTTGAAGTTCCTAGGCCTAAGCGTTTTTAGTTAATTGATCAGAAACCGTTTTTAACATACAAGGTCAATGTGACCTTGACCTTTGACCCCAAAATCAATACGGGTCATCTGCTGCTCATGACCAATCACCATGCCAAGTTTGAAGTTCCTAGGCCGAAGGGTTCTTTAGTTATTGATCAGAAACTGTTTTTACTTACAATGTCAATGTGACCTTGACCTTTGACCCCTTGACCCAAAACGCAATAGGGGTAATCTGCTGGTCATGACAAATCATCATACAAAGTTTGAAGTTCCTAGGCCTAAGCGTTTTTAGTTAATTGATCAGAAACCGTTTTTAACATACAAGGTCAATGTGACCTTGACCTTTGACCCCAAAATCAATAGGGGTCATCTGCTGCTCATGACCAATCACCATGCCAAGTTTGAAGTTCCTAGGCCGAAGGGTTCTTTAGTTATTGATCAGAAACCGTTTTTACTTACAATGTCAATGTGACCTTGACCTTTGACCCCTTGATCCCAAAATCAATAGGGGTAATCTGCTGGTCATGACAAATCACCATACCAAGTTTGAAGTTCCTAGGCCTAAGCGTTCTTAAGTTATTGATCAGAAACCGTTTTTACTTACAAGGTCAATGTGACCTTGACCTTTGACCCCTTGACCCAAAACTCAATAGGGGTCATCTGCTGGTCACGACCAATCATCATACAAAGTTTGAAGTTCCTAGGCCTAAGCGTTTTTAGTTAATTGATCGGAAAATGTTTTTACCTACAAGGTCAATGTGACCTTGACCTTTGACCCCAAAATCAATAGGTCATCGGCTGGTCATGACCAATCACCATACCAAGTTTGAAGTTCCTAGGCTTAAGGGTTCTTAAGTTATTGATTGGAAAGCATTTTTACCTACAAGGTCAATGTGACCTTGCCCTTTGACCCCTTAACCCCAATATCAATAGGGGTCATCTGCTGGTCATGACCAATCACCATACCAAGTTTGAAGTTCCTAGGCCTAAGGGTTCTTTAGTTATTGATCGGAAACCGTTTTTACCTTAGAGGTCAATGTGACCTTGACCTTTGACCCCTTGACCCCAAAATCAATAGGGGTCATCTACTGATCATGACCAATCACCATATCAAGTTTGAAGTCCCTAGGCCTAAGGGTTCTTTCGTTATTGATCGGAAACTGTTTTTACCTACAAGGTCAATGTGACCTTGACCTTTGGCCCCTTAACCCCACAATCAATAGGGGTCATCTGCTGGTCATAACCAATCACCATACCAAGTTTGAAGTTCCTAGGCCTAAGGGTTCTTTTGTTATTGATCGGAAACCGTTTTTTACCCAAGAGGTCAATGTGACCTTGAACTTTGACCCCTTGACCCCAAAATCAATAGAGGTCATCTACTGATCATGACCAATCACCATACCAAGTTTGAAGTTCCTAGGCCTTAAAGTTCTTTAGTTATTGATCGGAAACCGTTTTTGCTTACAAGGTCAATGTGACCTTGACCTTTGACCCCTTGACCCCACAATCAATAGGGGTCATCTACTGATCATGACCAATCACCATATCAAGTTTGAAGTCCCTAGGCCTAAGGGTTCTTTCGTTATTGATCGGAAACTGTTTTTACCTACAAGGTCAATGTGACCTTGACCTTTGGCCCCTTAACCCCACAATCAATAGGGGTCATCTGCTGGTCATAACCAATCACCATACCAAGTTTGAAGTTCCTAGGCCTAAGGGTTCTTTTGTTATTGATCAGAAACCGTTTTTTACCCAAGAGGTCAATGTGACCTTGAACTTTGACCCCTTGACCCCAAAATCAATAGGGGTCATCAACTGATCATGACCAATCACCATACCAAGTTTGAAGTTCCTAGGCCTTAAAGTTCTTTAGTTATTGATCGGAAACCGTTTTTGCTTACAAGGTCAATGTGACCTTGACCTTTGACCCATAGACCCCACAATCAATAGGGGTCATCTACTGATCATGACCAATCACCATACCAAGTTTGAAGTTCCTATGCCTAAAAGTTCTTTAGTTATTGATCGGAAACCGTTTTTGCTTACAAGGTCAATGTGACCTTGTCCTTTGACCCCTTGACCCCAAAATCAATAGGGGTCATCTACTGATCATGACCAATCACCATACCAAGTTTGAAGTTCCTAGGCCTTAAGGTTCTTTAGTTATTGATCGGAAACCGTTTTTGCTTACAAGGTCAATGTGACCTTGACCTTTGACCCCTTGACCCCAAAATCAATAGGGGTCATCTACTGGTCATGACCAATCACCATACCAAGTTTGAAGTTCCTAGGCCTAAGGGTTCTTTAGTTATCACTCGGAAACCATTTGGTCTACGGACCGACGGACCGACGGACCGACAGACCGACGGACCGACGGACCGACAAGTGCAAAGCAATATACCCCCTTTTCTTCGAAATGGGGGCATAAATATTTAAATGACCTGGAAAATAATGTATTTAGACGAATGATATGAAGTTTATTTGGTAAAGTCAAAAGATAACTTGAACAACTGAGGAAAATTGTACACACTCCTTTCTTGTTTTTTGAAAGAAATACATATAATAGTAAATATAATACAGTGTAACTTCCGAATTCCGGAACTTCTGAAATCCGGAAACTTCTAAAAACCGTACAAATTTTTCGGTCCCGATTTTTTCCCTTCTATTTTCTATTAATATAATACTTCTGAATTCCGCAACTTCTAAATTCTGAATTCCGGACGATATTTTCGTAAAATTAGAGTCAAATCAATGCAATTTTACCTCCAAAAACCGGAAATATCCAAAGGTGTGAAATACATTGTAAATCGAGAAAGTTTACCATGCAGGAAGATTTAATCTCCCTATCCATTGTTTACTAATTAGCGGTGATCGTGTAATTTGACACGCATTAAAATCACAAACTGTGAAATGGTATGTTTGAAGTGATGCGGTTAATCAAAGTTATTTACGGCGGTCAGTTAATTGGAAGTGTTTATTAGCGGATTAAATGACAATTAATTGGACAATGTATGCATCAAACGTCTTTAGGGATTTTATTGCATTTGATGTAATAATTAATTAACTAGCATTGGACGATATGTAAGTTTATGTAATTAACAACATTTCTACAAACTGATAGAAATTCAAAAGCATTTGCAGGTAAGATAAAAATGTATTCTTTTCATTAACATCTTTATCTTGATTAAAAGAAATTCAAAAGCATTTGCAGGTAAGATAAAAATGTATTCTTTTCATTAAAATCTTTATCTTGATTAAAAGACTATTATATATGATATTACAGTAATGACCACATCTTCCTTGACATTCAGTGATATTAAGTGGCTTAGTCTTGTCCACATTATCATAAACCTCTGAATTCCGGAAACCTCTGAAATCCGAACTTTTTGACCAGTCCCAAGGGTGTTCGGTTTTCGGAAGTTACACTGTAGTCAATAAATCAAACTAAAGAATTGCTGTTTTGACATATTTTCACAAAGTTGTATATATTAAGACGATATGAAACATACTGCTTTTATTTTAAATTGATAAGCAACATCATTCTGTTCCACTTTGTAATTTATATGAAATATTTCTTTTTAAAATGATTTTTTTTTCTCAAAGCAACATGAATTTAGAATACAGGGTCACCTATGAAGTTTCCTTGTATAATTTGCAATCATACTTATGAAGGAAAAATTATTCGTTTCATTAAATGAACCTTATATCTCCTTCTACATAAAGGTGGACAAAAGTAAGTCAAACTTAAAATGGATGTTTCTTGCATTAAATTTATCTGCTCAGGTGAGCTTAACTTCATTCTTAGAAAGTGTCACCAATCATAACCAGGGGTGACATTTATTCATGTCTCTTTGACTGGTATTATTCAACAGTTTGGACTATACAATCCAAAAATTCTATAATTATATATCTACACTTCAAGATCTGATATTGACAAATATGTCACAAAAAGATGTTGTTCATTAATCTATTACCACTCTATAAATAACTTCACATTAAACATGTATGTGTATACTAATAAATTTTCCTGGCTTTACAGTAAAACTGCAGTAACTCGTTTTACTTGCAATCAACCCTCCATAGTAGAACAAAAACAAGACATGCACACAGACAAAGATATCAACTATGAATTATTAACAAACTGCAAAACATAAATTACGACTTCTTCCTAACAAATAAGGCTATGACTGTTTTGATGGCATTTTTCAAGAGTACATTATCATTAGATATTCTCTAAATTGTTTGTCTATCTACATATCTACATATCAATTTCATACAATAATAATGTTATTGGATGTCTCACACATTAAGTATCCACATAATATTTTACTTTATTGTTCTATCCATTTGTTGCCATAGCAACAAAGATAAATAATTTACCATATTGCAACATATTCTTATTTCAGAGATTTTGTGACCAAAAAGATCTCCTCTTTTCTTTTTAAAGATCTCATGCAAGAACAAATACTGACAGTGATAACTGGATTGTTTGTTGGATATACTGACTAGGTTTTTTTTTTTAAAAGAATGCAAGTCATTCCTGAAACCTATTTATTAAGCCTTCATCTGAATTGTTGCAAGTTCCATTAAATTTTAATCTTTTCTTATTTATTTTGTTCAAAATTCTCATCTCTAGAAATATAACTGTGAATAACCTCAATAGAAACCTCCCACTTAAACAGTTATATTGCCCTTTCAATGTTTTGGGTTTGAATTTTACTATTTGCTATATCCCTAGCAGGACTCAAATCAGCTGCTAAGAGTAGGGAGAACTTTAATAAAGTTAGAGATTCACACCACATCACCACCAAGGCAATCTCATTAAAATCATATCCTTACTGTCGCTCCACTACACTTTGCCAGGTAGGATCTGATGACATTGCATTTGGAGTTATCTTAATTTGACCTTTTGGTTAGCAAATCAAGTTGTTGACTTCACAGCTAAGAGCAATCAAGCAAAAACAATGGTTTTAAGAAACCAAGAAAAAGCCATATTACAATAAGCATATCAGAAGTAGAAAGTACTTACTCATTGAGCTTATGTTATCAGCACTGCCAAATTTGTTCTTTATCAGATGAGCAAACTCCTTTGGCTTTGAGACTATAGTCCTGTAAATAGAAAATGTAATAAAATTGAACACAAACTCCTTTTGCTTTGAGACTACAGTTCTGTAATTAGAAAAAATATAATAAAATTTAAAAAGCTTTACTGGTGAAGGAAGACCTCAGGTGTCCCTCTGTGCATTAATATAGGCACAAACAGGCACCTGAGTAGAAAACCACTGACATTTCCTAAGCTAGCTGGATAGCTTCTTCACATAAAAGAATTCAAAATCCCTGGGAAGATTTGAACCTACAGCCGTGAGGAGCAAGGATTTTAAACAACCTTAACCACTTGACCATGGACATCACCTCATTCTTCCTGTATTTACTCACAGTAATGAGTAGCAGGCAAAGAGACTGACACACATATGAGCCGCATCATGACAAAACCAACATAATGGGTTTGCGACCAACATGGATCCAGACCAGCCTGCGCATCCGCGCAGTCTGATCAGGATCCATGCTGTTCGCTATATAGGGTTTATAGGGTCTGTAAGCGAACAGCATGGATCCTGATCAGGCTGCGCGGATGCACAGACTGGTCTGGATCCATGCTGGTCGCAAACCCATTATGTTGGTTTTGTCATGACGCGGCACAATTATTCATAGGCAATATCAGTAAATCTAGTAACTTCACTTTCCAAATCTAAAGAAAGGGTCCTAAAATGAACTACAAAATTCTAAAAATGAATACATTGTGCAGCATTTTAACCAAAATTATGGTTTTGAGACTGGAATACTGGCACATATTTAATTCATTATAAACATTATTTGAACATAATTGCAATATGGAATGTCAGTTCCAAAGAATATGGCAGCAAAAAACCCCCCCAAAACAACTAAGCTCTGCAGAGTCACTGATTTTCTCATACACTCTTCAAGAGGAAATATATTAAAATAATTTCACTCCGAGACATCCGTGCTATGAAACAGAACGCAAAAATCAATGCTAACAATCCACTGTATTTTACATTGATAAGTCATTTGTATCCCCTCACAGTCTGGCAAACATAACTGCATCATCTTTTTGCACAAATGTCTTGGTCATTATTATGTAAACCATAAAATAATTCTGATTTACAAATTCATAGTCTATGTGATTGGGTTACAGAATCTTTTATTGAATGAATAAACAAGCTATAAAGTCTTATCTATAACTTAACCAGTCTGTCTATTATTATTAATTCTTTTTGTTTCTATTTTTTGTTTTTTTTAACTACTTCCTTTTTTGTTCTTTTTTTTTCTTAAAGGGACTCCACTGAGGTTTTTTTGACATGACAAGACTGGAAATATTTTTCCTAGATTTGATTACCAATTAATGAAACAAAAAGTTCGGACAAATAATTTGGGTGAAAATTTTAAGGTCATTCCCTCACCCTGTTTTTCCATTAGCATTCATTTTTATTGTGCAAAATGACCCAAAAATGTTAAGCATAGCAATGCTTCCACTCAAATTTGGGTGAAGAATCACACAAAACTTGTTATTCAATTTAATTCTGAGTATATGTCTTTGTTATCCATTGCAGAGTTTTCCATTTTAGGTGCTTTACTTAATATTTGTAAGATTTTCAAATTTTATGTTTTTAGGCTTTTGAAATTGACAATCAGGAGTTCCTTAAAAAATATCAGTCTACAACTAAATGTTCGTATAATTACATGTCTACAACTAAATGTCCATATAATTACATATATGATGGATACAGTATAAACTTTATTAGTCTCCATTGATTGAACATTAATTTTTCTAGGAAAACAATAAAATGTGGTTTTATTGCTAGACTCATTTATTTTATTGCTGTCTGAAAACTGAAATTATATAGTACATCAATTAAATAATGTTCTCTCTTCTTTTCTCCCCGAAAATTTGTAATATAGAAAATGAAACATGATGTTGGTTTTCATTTTAACAAGAACTGAAATTGAAAAGCCTTTAACCACTAGTATAGATGTATATCTGAGCAGTCTGACCTTGGGCTTTATAATGTTCAGGAAGCTCATTTAATGCATTTTCAGATTAAAATCTTGTAAACTTTGAATAGATTGTTTCACTTTCAAAGGAGGCCTAATCCATTATATAAATTTAGTAACATAAAGGTTAAAATAACCAATTCCCTCCTATCAAATATTTTTACCTAAAATGCTTAAATTCCTTAATTTACAAATATTAGGACTAAATTAACTCTTCCTGTCTGTCCTTCCAATTCAATTATTAATAGCATTTATTACACTTTTACATTGCCGGGCTTGTAAAATGGACTTGGAATTAGCCATAAACAATTAAAGGGAATTAAGTATCAAACTTATTGGTTTTGGGTTTTAGGTTTGGCCAACACTGTTGGAGGGACACAATGCAATTTTACTGCCTGCCTCATATGTAAGAATTCTTACAGAATGAGTCTCCATGGCCTGAGGTTCGACCCCTATACTGCAGTGTGGTCTGAGCCACTTTAACCAACTGACCATGGGGAACCTTTCATATCATTATCAATTATACATCTAAGACAAATTAGGATATACAAAAGTACACTGCGAGTTTAGCACAGTACAAAACCAAACCCTTGTGGGTAACTTATACTTAAAGTGTTATAATTTTTACATGAATTTATCTTACAAATACATTGTAACTTGCTACTTACTCTTTAGCACCCTTAATATTACCAACCACACCCCTGTAATGTAAAAACAAAACATACATGTTAATATACTAATAAATCAACAGCAAACAATGGTGTGATGTGGTTTTTTTTACAGAAAAGAGAATCACCGATATTTTGAATCAGCAATGTCCATTATTTCTGTGAAATTATATTTCATCAACATATGATTTTAGTTCAGCCAACAATGCCCTATTTTATAAGTTGCTAATCACAATAATTTATACCTGTACAATAAACAAAATAATTATCAATATGTTAACCAAAATTAAAGACTACCCAATGTAGTCAATAATTGTATAATTATGACATATAGGCAAAGTAAATGTTCCCTTTTTTGCTATACTTTACTGTCTAGAGCTGAAAACTTTTTATTTATTCATAATTATAAAAGAATGAAAAGCCATTTTTCTTAATTAGAGTTTGGAATGAGATTGTTCAATTTTCTTAAAACTGTGTGGTCCTTTTAATTCATATAATCAACACCAACTGATCAGAACATACATGTGTATTTTAAAAATTTCTCTAAAAATTAATAAACAGCTTTGTCCAAACTGAAATATGGGCAAGTCCAAGATGAATGAAATAAGAAAAGGTTAAAATCTAGAAACTTTCTTTTACCATTAAAATAAAATTGGTGTCACTTATTTATAGAGATAGATATAAACAACACTCATAGTAAGGAAAAAGAACAACTAATAGTGTATTGCAAAATGTTAAATAAAGCAGTTAAGTTCGCAAACAAAGAAATACCATAAACTATAACTTAATTATATTATATATTACATTTCCCATAATTATCGAACAATATTAAACAATCACCTAATTATATTTCTTCTTAATAAAATCTTAAACATTATAAGTATTATATATCTCCTTGTAAAGTTCTAATAATTTATATTTATTAGTCTTGATTTTCTTTATCAATTTTAAGTCTTTGAACATTTTCTGGATTCAGAAAATTTAAAATTCATACATATTTTTCTGATAAACTCAATTTAAAGAACTTGACAAATCAATTATTCATATTTTAATGTATCATTCAAGTGAATTATGACATTACTTATGTATTCAATAAATTAGATAAATCAGTAATTTAACCTTTCACACATCAAAGGAAATTGTGCAAACAATGCAGAACTGTGCAATTCTATGGCAGAAACATTTAAGCACCATATTTTATAGTGAATCAAATTAAAAGAAATAAATGAGTGCATACTGTAATGCTGAGACTTTATATTTTAAACTTCATTAAAAATTTCTTGTTTTTCAAGTTCATTCTTGAGAATGACAACCTGCAGTCTAGCATATTAAAAGCAACTAAGTGTTTCCTCGATATATATTAACACACTTATATATATGTAACATTATTGGTTTTTTTTTATGTTGGTATAACAGGGACATTAAATTTTGTCAGTCTTCTTTTATCAATTATTACACTAAAATTAGCAGAAAAAAATAGTTTAAAACCAATTTTATGAGATATCATTGAATTATTGATGCACTGAAATAACGCTAGTTTCTTCATAAAAAGTATCATATTTTATCTGCTTCTCTTTAAAATTATATGAAACCAGTAGCAGGTTAAAGGTCTATTTAAGGCAAAGCAGAGAATTCACACAGTGGACAAAGCTGATTATTAAAAATAAAAATAAGAAACTAAAAATAAGCCATATTAGTAATGGTATTGAACCACTACCCTCACAATATCATTTTATGCACACTGAATATTATCATAATGTCATAATAAAAGTTTGCTCAACTATTTGAAATTCAGAGTCAAATTTTTTAGTAAAGAAGAGTGAAACAATAACTATACTTGTGCAAATAGTTTGAAACCATTTGGCATTTTTTAAGTTATATGCTCAAAGAAATGTGCAAACATGTATATGCAAAACTTTTATAAGCCTGTGCAACAAATTCTTCGACTCTTGAGAAAAAAACAAATGAAAACAAATTTCAAATATTTGAGCCTATACATTGCACCACATGCACTTAAAGTATCCAAAGTATATCACACACACTAAACAAAGTGCAGAACAATGACTTGTTTGGAAAGGCCTATAAATTTTCAATTTCAAATCTTTTTCATAATAATGGCTAGTTCTACAAAATTCTGCTAAAGAAGACCACAAGAGCCCCTTCAGACATATCAGCAAGCATCTGGGCAGATTATCAATGAATTAAGCTAGCTGTCACATGACATTAGTCAATGTCCTGGTAGGCATTGTTCCTTCGACAGTTTCACATAACAATTATTATTATACAAGAACATAAAATAAACTAAGGGCATAAAATGTTTAATGGTCCCTGTAGTGTACTGGGATACTCTCTTATTGCTACAAACTGTTTAAAACTTAAATTAGTTTTAATTCTAGAAAATGTGTACAGGAGTTGTCCCATTAAAGGTCAAATAAATCTAGAGTGTAAAAGATGATACACCAAATAAATGTGAAACTTTTAAACAGCAGAGATATTATGAGCGTCCCAGGACACAAACACCCTAACCTCATTTTATTCACTCAAATAAATATCCAATTCCCTCAAGTTGATGCACTATCACCATATGCAGTTCCTCTCATCAGACCCTCATGCCCCTCTGAGTAACACTTAAATGCCATTTGATAAATGAAAGATCTGCAAGATGCAGCATAAAATGCCGAACAATAAAACAATGTGTTAATTATTCAGTTACTTTACTCTCACAAGATCAATCCAATTTATGACTTGATTTTATTTCAGGCCTCCCAATATAAAATAGACTACAACAATTTTACACCCAACGTTCATGCTACATAGTACAATACAACATTCAAGGTTACAATATATGAGCCGCGTCACGACATAAACCAACATAGTGGGTTTGCGACCAGCATGGATCCAGGCCAGCCTGCGCATCCGCGCAGTCTGATCAGGATCCATGCTGTTCGCTATCAGTTATTCTACTTGTAAAAGAGTTGGTAAGCGAACAGCATGGATCCGGATCAGACTGCCCGGATGCGCAGGCTGGTCCAGATCCATGCTGGTCGCAAATGCACTATGTTGGTTTTGTCATGACGCGGCTCATATAATCTTTGAAGTAATCACTTGCATGCACATACAAAATTCCAACTTTCCCTTAACATAACATATTTACTTGACACAGTGTTATGATATATGGTGAAAATTACTTAACACAGAATATATGGTATGGTGAAAAACTGGCACTCCTGTTAACACTTCGGTACACCAAATATTATTGAGCTATGATTAACACTTCGGTACACCAAATATTATTGAGCTATGATTAAGGCCTTAATATTTCATTATGGATGCACTAGGCCACCCTTCCCCTTAGCAAAACTAATTGAAATCCCTTGCAAAATTTAAACCTTAGAAGCGAGAAGCAAATTATTCAAGTCATGTCCACCTTACCATGTACAGATATGTAATCACATTGCTACTTAATCACAAAATATGAGTCTATAAACCTAATCATTAAAGAATTGACAGTATAGCAAAAGAAACTCATAATGTCTGCCTGACTATTTCACCGTGAAATTTCAATTTTCAGCACAGCAACTCCATTTCAAAATTATAATTGGCAAAAGCAGTGACTAAGAGTATAAAAGGGAGGTAATCAGTAGCTATGACAACAAGGGTGCTTACCCTGAAAACCCTGTAATTCCGTCAACAATGTTAGCCCCAACATCTCTACAATAAGTAAAAATGTTGTCATTTGTTGATGCTCTTAAATGCTTTCTTATAAATAAATGATTTGTTACAAAATTTGATATACAATTGTTATTATGTACATAAAGAAATCAACATTTCAAGTGCTTTAAAGATTAAAAACAATAAAAATCAAAACATGCATTTAAAAAAATTAAAGTGTTCAGTAACAATGCTGAACACTCTCTAAACTCTAAAATAAAAACCTGCCCTAAATGCAAGAATGAACCTGCACAATGCAAGAACAGAACTGCACAATGCAAGAACAAAACTGCATGATGCAAGAATGAACCTACATAATGCAAGAACCGAACTGCACAATGTAAGAATGAACCTGCACAATGCAAGAATGAACCTGCCCAATGCAAGAACAAACCTGAACGCAGTTTATTTAAGGGGCAGCTGCTCTACATATGATATCTGCTAAATTTTTTATTCTTCAAAAAACTGCCATTCTTTGGGTTACATTTATTTTTATACATAACCCAAATTGTTAAACTGCAGATATAGAAAAATGGCAAGTTTATTGGATAGTTACTCTGCATTGTCTGTTATATATTATTCATCTGAATCAATATCAATAATATTGTATTGATTAAAAATTCAACCTAGAAAGAAAAGCCTCCATTTTTAACTTCCTAGCACATGACATGATATGGCACATAACCAAGTATTTGCCTTAAAAGCCCATTATGCCTCACAAATGCTTTCATATTTATTTCTCAAAAACTGTATATTTCTGGTATCTTGTTATAGTTTCCAAAAAAATACTCATTTGCCAATATAGATAAACTATGCTTTACTTCATGTACTCTGTTGGTAGTTACTTTAATCATATTAAATGAGTATTTTGTATAGAAGTCAAAATCCTACTTTTTTTACATTTTGCTACCTTTACAACACATTACTTCACATTCAGCTCCACTTTCCTTCAGTTGTTTAACATTTAATCTGCTCTAAATCTATTACTATAACATTATTAAACAATTTTCATTATTTTACCGGCAGAATGACTTTCAATGTTCATTTTTTTCCCTGCTTTATAAGGTCACATAGTAAATATGACCTTCATATTATTCTAGTGACTCCATGAACAATTTTTATTCAAAAAACCTTTTCGAAAGTTTTCTTTAATGCAATGTCCCATTGTAAAAGATCCATGCAAAAAGATTATGGTCATAACAATAAAGATAATAAAAACAAATGCTGCTAAGAATATCAACTGGTACTCCATTCAAAACAACATTAACGACTAAAACTGTTAAAATGCATATCATAAATACATACAAAACTGAAGCGAAAATTGCAGCAAAGCTTCAAACGTATTTCATTGTTGTAAAGTTTTTGCTATTGTTCTCTTATGTTCTTATATCTCTTATTATGTTATTCCAATGAGAGATATTTATTTACAATAGAATGAGAATGGCTAAATATTTACAATTTTTAGAGTTAAAAGACATAATGACTCTCTTTAGCTCATCGGGCAATGTTGCAAAAATACCCCTTTGTGCTATTACTTCAGGGGGCAAGTTGTAACATTGGTAGATACACTGAGCTTCCCCAAACAGGCCAGATACCCGGGTTATTTTCTTTCATTTTTTTTATGTATGAAGTTGTACATTTACGGAATGATTTACTTACTTTAGTCCTTGGCCCATGTCTTTTAATTTATCTTTTGTTTGCCTATGGGCTCCATAGGTTTGGACGTCATTCATAGTTTTTGTGTATTTTTCCAGCTTTTTCTGTAGCGTACTCAAGGACTGTGTAGATTTCTGGTTTTTCTTCTCAAAGACTTGTTTGATGCGTAGTAATTGCTGTTTGTCTGCCTCACCAGCCAGTCGAAGATATTCATTAACATTAGCTGTAATAGTTAACATTATCAAACTTGCAAATTTCTATATGCCAATACTGTGAATTCACTTAATTTCATGGGCATGGAATTTCATGGTTTTGTCATACAGAAAATTTTCCTGGGTATTTAAATTAATGGACAGTTCATTTTTTTCCTGAAGGTAAAATGTAAATAATATGATGCAAAATAATCTCACAGCCGACCAAATGAACTTTCAATAGATCTTAAAATTGTGGCTGTTCAATCAATGTCCACGAATACCAGGAAAATAAGTGATAGTAATAAGTTTGTAGTTAATGCATCATAATGCATGAAGACCAATTTGATGCCAGTGAAAAATTCAAATAATTCAATTAGAATATTTTATGCCACAAGTAATTTTGATGTAAATTTAATTATAAATAAGCAATTAGTGCAATTAGAAATTTCAGTGCTGGCAAATTGCAATAATGAATGCATTAAAAAAAATTAAAGCTATTAGATATGTTGATGCTAGCATCAATTTGATTTTATTGATTTGATACTTCCTATAACTTCAATAATTGTGGGGGGAAAACCCTGCTGGTGGCAATTTATTCAAGTCATGTGACCAGTGTATAGACCAATATCATGTGGCATAATCTGTGCGGTCTTATCAAGGTCTGCACTGATTGCTATTTAGCAAGTACACATGTTAAAATTTCTCTTAAAATGATGAATACATGTACATTTGTCCAGGATGAAAAGATGGACAAATCCATTTTAGATAATTAAGCCTTGATATGGTAAACCAATCACAAAAGAGAAGAACAATTAAAATCAACTCATACGTATCTTCAGTGATTTTTCTTACTTAATTGGGAAGAAGCCTTAGCCTCTTGACTTTGGGAAAAATTATTCCTAAAATTGCTAATTTAGGAAGTAAAAAAGCTGGTGTAAGTTCAGACATTTGGGAAAACTGCATGATTCTTAAAGAAAATTTCAATTTGGACAGAGGTCTTTGATAGGTCTCGGTTATTTCAAGGAGGATAATCACTGATCTTGTATTCTCCGGTTCACCTACCTTCTTTAGTAGCTTGCTCTTCTTTAATCTGGTCCATTGTTCTCGTTATCTTCTCTTGGATATGTTCCATGGCGGCTCGCTTCCTCGCAGACTCACCGTCTGCTGCTCCATCTGTATCGTCCGTGATATCACTACATCCACTCCCATTCTCTCTTGTGCCAGAATCATCCTGTAATGTCAACAGTATAGTTGTGATTCTTTTTTGTTTGATATTTATTTAAGCATAATTATTCTCATATTAAAGGCCCATGAAGTCCCTAAAGTGGTTTTATTTAAATCTATGAAAGTATTCTATTTTTTAGTGTTCTCTTATAGTTTCCAAAAAGTTATTAAAAGGCCAATAACGTCAAAGCAAATTCTGGGCAAATCTATTATAAAAGTTCAGCAGATTAACTAAATAGCAAACAGAAAATGCTTCTTGAGAATAAATATAACCTCACCCTGTGGAACAGACAAGACACTTTCTATAAACGCTGCATGGTAATTAAATAAGAAGAATCTAAAGATCTTGCCGCTAGAATAAATCCATGTCTGAGAGGTCTAAACAGGGAAGGAAAAATTATCCTGACCATTTCCTATCCTACTTGACTTCACGTATAAGACAGCTCGGGGAATCAGTTCAAACATCTCCACTCAGACTTACAGTAACTTGCTAGGACAGAGCTTGTTAAGGAAAAATGTCTGACAATCAAAGACTATCTTAAGACTTAGAATTACAGGGAAAGCCTAGAAATCTCAGGAAAGTGTGTAAACCTTGAAACCCCCAAGAAAGTCACAAAATAACAGGATAATTTTTTAGCAGCTTCACTTCCTGGCTTTTTTTTTGTATCAATTCGAGATAAAATTCTCAATTTGTTTCTTTCGAGAAGTTTTCTTCAAGCAAGAGGTTGTTCAATTTCACAGAAAACCTGCTTTTTGATAGCAATGTTTTAACAAAAGCCAGTGCCTAGGTGGGCCACACTTTTTCTTATTTCTAAAGTCAAACACATCAGGGGAAGAACATTGTAGTAAAGAATACTTCTAGAAAAACATAACTATTTTGGCCAATAGTTAAGAATACTTCTAGAACAAGAGCCGGTTGAACCGGGTGATGCTCCCCGAATAGGTTTTGGACACAGGAGGGTATACCTCTTTAGTGTCAGAGTTGTGTCACAGACAAAGTTCAAAGTGAAAAAACAACCCAAATGTTGTGGGCGACACGTGGTCTCAATATGGTGATCATTTCTATGAAATAGTTGTTAAATCCAACTTCAAATAACCAAGTTATGGGCCGGACACAATTTTGCTGCAAGGTCATGCTGTGACCTTGACCTTCAAGGTATTGACCCAAATGTTACGCGCGACACATCATCTCAATATGGTGATCATTTCTGTGAAATAGTTGTAAAATCTGACTTCAAATAAAAAAGTTATGGGCCGGACACGATTTTGCGGCAAGGTTATGCTGTGACCTTGACCTTCAAGGAAGCGACCCAAATGTTGTGCGCGACACATAGTCTTAATATGGTGATCATTTCTGTGAAATACTTGTAAAATCTGACTTCAAATATCGAAGATATGGGCCGGACACAATTTTGCAGCAAGGTCATGCTGTGACCTTGACCTTCAAGGTAGCGACCCAAATTTTGTGAGTGACACGTCGTCTCAATATGGTGATCATTTCTATGAAATAGTTGTAAAATCCAGCTTCAAATAACAAAGTTATGGGCCGGACATGATTTTGCTGCAAGGTCATGCTGTGACCTTGACCCTCAAGGTAGCGACCCATATGTTGCGCGCGACACGTCTACACAATATGGTGATCATTTCTGTGAAATAGTTGTAAAATCTGACTTCAAATAACAAAGTTATGGGCCGGACACAATTTTGCTGCAAGGTCATGCTGTGACCTTGACCTTCAAGGTAGCGACCCAAATGGTGGGCGGACACGTCGTCTCAAGGTCATGCTGTGACCTTGACCTTCAAGGTAGCAACCCAATGTTGTGCGCGACACGTCGTCTCAATATGGTGATCATTTCTGTGAAATAGTTGTAAAATCCAACTTCAAATAACAAAGTTACGGGCCAGACATGATTCCGGACGTACGTACGGACGTACGTACGTCCGGAATCATTTATGGACATTGGTCCAGGTGGTGTTTATGAGCTGATTTGCCTCATAAATGTCAAAAGTTGGTACGGAAGGACTGACTGACGGACGGACGGATAGATGGACGTACCAACATTTTGGGTTTAGGGGCTATTTTCTTTGTTTTCTTAAGGGCTACTAGCCCATAAACCCTTTGATCACGGTATGAACCTATTGTTCTCTTTTGTTCTCTTTACTGTTATACTGCGAATTCACTTATATTCGTGGGCATGAAAGTTCGTGGTTTTATCAAAACGGGCATTTTCGTGGGTTCTTAAATTCGTGGATTTTTGTTTTCTTGTTAAAAAAATTCAGTAACCTAATGCAAAGTAATCTTAATCGCCGAACATTTTTACTTACAACATGTTACTTTGTACATATCTTTACTTGTCACACAGCGGTTGTCAATAAATTTAATCCTTGCCTCTGGGCATAACTCTAATACAGCACAGTTACTGCCGATAATTGACTGCAATTAACACATTTATGTGACATGATATGCACCTCCATTGGACACACTGCCCCTGTAATTCGCCGATGTAAACATCGCATAATTTATACGACACCTGGCACGTTTTAAAAGTTTACACTTAACATATTTGACAGCAGCTACACGCAACGTCACAGCGACTGTGTAAATTTACATGCATATAAATTATTTTCGGTAAATAACACGAGTATATGTGGATCTTGTAAAAGTCGGTGGCGTCTTTGATGTTTACGGAATAGCATTCGCACAAATACTGATTAAAATTCATATAAACTGGATCATTTAAAAACAACAAAAGAAAGTACAATAAATCTGTTTTAGCGATCGTATTTTTTTATAGTTTTGTGTACTTACGACATTAATATCAAAGACTTTTTTTTAAATTAATAAGAGCAAACTGACAATTTTTATTAGCGCTAATTATTGCACTGCCTGGGTTCCCATATTTACTCGATTATGTCAAGTATTCTTGTTAACACAATCAAGTCCTAGTAGACTACAACGATCAAGTATGTATATGCGACATTTGTGACAGTAAATTGAGGACATATAATCGAGTTTTCTTTCAAGTTTCTTAAATATTGCAAACGGATTTAATATGTCACTAACCTGGTTATCTGTCTGTACTTACATCCATTTCACGAAATATCGGCCGGAAAAGAGCCGACGCATGTTTGTAATATATAGAACAGAGACAGGGTAAGAAGTATTTGTTGGGATAAAAGTTCGTCGGATCTTAAATTCGTGGATTGACCTACCCACGAAAACCACGAAAATTCGTGCCCCACGAATATTAATGATTTTACAGTATAGCCCCTAAACCCAAAATGTTTGCTCGACCCAACGACTATAAATTTTTCGGGGAGCATAAAAACATAACTATATTGGACAAAATATAACTCAAATTTCGTATCTGAACTTGATGTCAAGGCCATTCAAAAATCAAGGTCACATTTGAATTAATCATCATGTCAGATTTGTCAAAAGTGTTCTTTTGTCCAAGAATGAATCAAATCCATGAATAAACAACAAAGTTATGACAATGCGACTGTAAAGGACAATTAGAGGTGGAAGTCATATCAGAATATTTCAACATGCCGGTTAAGTCATAATGTGATCTTTGGTCAAGTATAAATCAAATCTGTAAGTTATGTATGGCCAACTGTAGCAAAATTCACTAATTTGACCTTTAGTAACTTTTACAGAATTTAAAGCGGAAATTCAGGAGGATTTAACTTTAAAATCCTGAAAGCTTCCGATAATGTGATCTTGATGATGTGTGAAGTTTCAAGTGATTATCTTCAAGTTAAATAGAGCATAGTGTTAAAAAAAGCCCCTGACTAACCTCTGATAAGCTGATATCAATTTCTTAAACTGTTAAATAAATTCCCTATAAAAAAAAAAACCTCACATTTTATGATTGACAGAACTAAAACAAAAACCTTACGTCTTTCTCTAAATCCTCCAAACTGCGTGATAATTGCTGCGAAAAACCAGCTTCATCCGGAAGCTGTAGAGTGCTGGTTTTTGACCTTCCAGTACAGTTCTCTGGTGACAACTGCCGTTTCTGAGAACTAGGACTCTTGGATGAAACTTTCTTGAGACCAGCTTTGAGAATTGGAAGCCGGGTTTCAGATTTCTTCCTGAAATAGTTACAATTATATTCTGCATTATACTTCCTGGTTGTTATCTAAAACATTTAATTTTAGCTCATCTCAATAATCGATTACACTTCCTATAAGAATGATTTAAACTAAATTTCAGCCAATAACGGTTAAAACTTGAACTTGATTATCTTTTCGAGTAACTCATTATATGAAATGAATAAACTGCGAACAAAAAAATTATAGTAAAATAACTGACATTAACTCAGTATACTCAGAAATTTAATTAACCGATAGTTTAGATACCCTGCTTGATGTAGAACGTTGGCATAGATTTATTGAGAAAAACAGTTTATGTCATTATTTTAGTAACTATATATATAGGCTTGAACCCATGAACCTGCTTTCAAACAAAACCAGAGAGCAGGACTAGACCTTCTTACAACTTTATTATTTGATGGCGTATAAAAAAAACAACAACAAATATCGACTACTCTGTTCTGAACCAATCATAGTATAGTGTTACTAATAATTATATGTCTTTAATGTAATGAAAATTGTTCACTTCAGAGATGACTTCCCTAATTACATTGATAAACTACAAGTTAGGAGGCAGGCTGAGATTTATACAGCTAAATACATGTTTTTTGCAATCTAATTAATCGATCACTTTCATGCAGCTTCTTGGTTTATTTTCAGTCTTCTTCAATTTGACAAACAAATTTTCTTTTTTTTCAGAATGAGTCATCATATTGCTTTAGTAGCAAATTTTCTTCTTCATGATTTATTAACTAGACGACTCACTATAAAACAATAAAACAAACATTTCACATTTTGCAAAATAGATATCTGAGTGAATGCAGTCTGTCTTTTGTAACATGATACCTCAAAAGGGAGTAAGTATACAGATCATAACGCAGTATTATAACCAAGGAGAAACAGAACTACATCTTTTATTGTTTGCCCACATGAATATTGCAGGAGAAGGAGGAGAATGACATCATTGTAGCTAGCCACTCCTAGCCACTCCCTCATGCAGCTCAACATCTGGTGGAAGTGAAAATGACAAATCATTCAGTAACAGCATAACTGATGTTGACATGTACAGTCATCAAGGGAACTCTATCTGTCCATTGGAGATATACTAATAATAATTTCTATTCTTTTACACTGCAATCAATACTAAATTCTTCCTTCATTCTATTCTATTCTTCCCCCCATTCCCCGCCATTTCTTTTTCCCTACTCTATTAAACTCAAACCCTTTTATTTCCCTTTTCTTGTCTTTTCTTTCTCCAAACCTTTCCTTCCCATTTGAAGAATGATTTCCCAATCCCTTGCCATTCCTTTCTCCAAACCCATTTCATTTACTTTTTTCCAATTCCTGCTTTCCAATTTCCATGTTCACTGCTTTTCTTCTCTCCAAGCCTTGCCTCCCCCATTCCCCAATCACTTGCTTTCCCTTTATCCAAACTTGGTCTTCCCAATATCCTATATCCCTTGTATTTCCTTTTCTCCAAATTTTGCCTTCAAATTTCCCCTCTCCTTTGCCTTTCCCTTCTCAAAATATTGCCTTCCTATTTACCTGTTCCCATTTTTTCTTTTTTCTATTCCCATTTGCTATATTCCCTTGCCCTATCTTTCTTCAGTTTTACCTTGGCTTCCCATTTCCAAATCCCTTGCTTTCCTTTCTCTTAACCAGATATGTGCCTTCCCATTTCCCATGCCTTCTCAAAATCCCGCCTGAACCCCTTCCCCAAGTACATTGCTTTCTCTAAATCCAGGAAAGCCTAATACCTTGCCTTATTTATTATTGTAATATAGCCTTCCCTCCAACAAATGCCTTGAAAAATCAATCATATGCCTTCCAAAAACCCAGCAATAATTCTCAACTAAGCCTAGGTCCTGCTTCAACAGCACATCAGCAACATCAACCTTTTCAAAATGTTTCATAACCTAACTTTGCACCCACCCTTAACAAGTAACTATAATACTAAACTCTCTTGTTCACAAACCTTACAAGTTTAAACTGTTGAATTCTTCCATATAAAGGAACTATACAACTAATATTAGGATAGTCAGAGGTTCTACTCAGGGGCCAAATCACATAAATAAATTCAAAAACATGGCTCCCTAAAATCTTAATCCTTCAAAAATGTAACCTGGAATTTAAATACCACACAACTGTAACAACTGTCTGTTGATACCATAAATTGTGAGGTATTAAACTAACAAAACATCATATAACCCAATCTTTAAAGAAGATTATACATAGCACAACAAAGGGCATAAAATATACGAAAGGAATTTCCCTGTTTCAATAACTAAAATTCTACCAGCTGGCATAATAAACATTGCAAAAATGCTGGGAAAGGCTTTGATCAATAACAGCAAAGCAGCAAAAAAAATACACCACCAAAGGCAATTTTTTTTTCATTTTTCATTTGTTATACCTCCGGGGGGAAAATCAGAAAAATATACCTGGATAAGCTATTAGTAAATTAATTAATTTGTCAATCAATAGACTGCTATTTACATTAAAAAAAGGTATGACACACTGCCAGGAATTTCTCCCATTTTATTCACACTTTATTACTTCCTGCAATAAGAACTTTGGAAAGTTTCATTCCATTGTAAACAAAAATGATTTTGTATCGGCCACCCGGTTGACTGTCAGATTATGCCTATTTTCTTTTGCTTTTAATTTCCTATTAATGGAAGCATTGGTTTAGTGATTGGCCTTAAAAAAGTGAGTTGTTTACTTATGTTGGCTTGCTTTAATTATTGTTTCAAAGAAATTTCTTAAGTTTATATAGTGCATAAGAATGTCTTAAATCTATTTCTGAGGCATAATGTGTCTTTAACAATTTCAGTACAAGGTAAAACTCCGGGCTGCTGCATTACACATTCTCAATCATACTTGTATCATAGTTTGGGGACCTTTCTGTTGAAAATCGTATACATATACATGCACATTTAAAGCGTAAACTGGAGTGCAGGTATTAGTTACCCGCACTCCAGATCATGCCCATTGATTGGCTCCTTTTTGCTTGGGTTTACTTATTGTGACGGCAGAGAAAGGGAAAGCGATAGAAATGTCATGATTCAGATGCTTGTTCTTTGGTTACTTTTTTCTGGGGTTTCATAATTTGACAACTGTTTTACAGGGAACATGTTTTTTTATGTTTGACTATGATACAAAAGAGAAAGAACATCAAAACACTCAGCAAGGGGGCAACGCCCCCTCATATAAATCAGATAGCCTCCTGTTTGGATGCTCTTTCTATTACATAATATATGCTGTCAGCCATACTGATTGTGGTAAGCCTGGGTTAATGTACAAGATGGTCTGTGTATATTGG